ATTGTGGCGAGCTGGAGCGATCTTATGGCGAGCCGTTTTATTATTAATTGATATCAATAAATCAATTCTTGTTATCAAGAAATGATTTTATGTTGTAAAGCAATGGTAATTCTTGATATCAAGAATTCGATTTCGTGATTTCAAGAATTGAATTCTTGATATCAAGAAATATGTTTTAATGATAAAACTGCTTGCCATAAGATCGCGCTAGCTCGCCACAACTCGAGACTCCAACTCGGCTAAGTGGGAGCCCTGGTTTAGCTAATTATGACATAATGCTTATTTGTTTGTTTTTTCCATAGTGAATACAGCTGACTTCTTGGAAGAGGCCAATTGTCAAGTCCTGCCGTTGGATATGAGCGATTGCTATGAATATGAAGAGGATTTCATCGACCTTGAATTTATTCATGCTTATTTCGCTTATCATCGGAGGTTTGATGAAAAGGCGCACAGGTCCATGGGACGATAGTTTTCTAGTTTTTTTCAATTCTTTTTGGCTAACAATCCTACCAAGGTGCCTTTCTGGATTGGTTTACCAATCCAGAAAGGTGCCTTCCAGGATTTAAAAAAAAAAGCCCAAGGGATTACCAAAACAACGGCCTTTTGGGGGGGAGGGGGGTCCCGGGGGCCATTGAAGGAGCGTTCACGTCGCGGCCCCTGTCAGATGAAAATCTGCGAATCCTTCAGCTACACTACTCACTTGTCCCTTTAGGGGGGGGGGGGGTATTATTAGTATGGGCCTTTGAATATCTACAGGCAAGCACAACAGAATCATTTAAAACTCTGTTGAAGACCTATCTTTTTGTAAATTGTTAATTTTGTTCCAGCTGTTTAGTGACTTCTTTGGTTATAGTATCATGTACATATTTAATATTAAATTTAGTTTTCATTTAATTTTCATGTTTTTTCATGTTTAAATTTGTATTACCTGAATTTACAATGTATTACATGTAAGCTTTGTAGGAATTGTGTATCATTATTGTTGTTTGTAATTAATTATTTTCATGTATCAGGCTTAAATGTTCATTTCTATTCCGCCATTTTCCTTCATTTTTAAGCGCATAGGGACTTTCTTTGTGTGAGTGATATGCGCTATACAAATAACGTTCATTATTATTATTATTACACCTGAACCTTCACAATCCCCCAAATCTCTTTTTTTTTTAAGTTTTTTTTAATCAAAGTTTTTCTTTTTCCAATTACATTCAATACTACAAAAATCCCTCTGGCAATTTCGACCATCTCAAACTTGGTCAGATTGCCCATCTTTAAAATTTACTTATTTCCAGGTTGTTAAAATTATTTAGAGGAACAAAATGAATACAGGTAAGTAAATTTAAAAGAATAAGCACACAATTTCAGAAGAGTAATGGATAACCAAAACAGATAACCCTTTTACAAAACAACCCAATGAATAACCAACACAGAAAACCTTTTTAACCAAACAACCTAATGGATAATCAAAACAGATAACGTTTCAAATAAAATTACCCAATAGTTAACCCAAACAGACAAGCTTTTAACAAAACAACCCAAGGGATTACCAAAACAACAACCTTTTGGGGGAGGGGAGCCCCGGGGGCCATTGAAGGAGCGTTCACGTCGCGGCCCCTGTCAGATGAAAATCTGCGAATCCTTCAACTACACTACTCACATGTTGCTTTTTTATGGGGGGGGGGGGAATCATTAGTCTTGATGCAAGGTAGAAGCCTTTGAATATCTACACCAATGCCTTCACATTCCACAGAATCCCATTTAGTTTTAATTTAAATAGAAGTCCAAGCTTCTCTTTTTCCAATTACATTCGATACTACATAGAACCCTCTGGCAGTTTCAACCATCTTAAACTTGGATAGATTGCCCATCTTTAAAATTTACGTATTTCCAGGTTGCTAGAATTATTTAGAGGAAAAAAAATACATACAGGTAAGGAAATATCTCATTGCGCAAGCCAAAAGTACAAACATAGACTGGAACTTTTGTTCTTAAAAAGTGTGCTATTTGGCAGTGTTAAAATACATGTTTTTTCTGAGTTGACCTGAATGAGCATGTAACATTAAACGTAAGACATGCAAGATAACCTAATATTTATTCATGAAGAAATTAAGGCTGGTAGATCTATTGAACAATTGGAATCATGAACTCTAATACCTAAAGTGATCAATTTGTTTTTCTTCAATTCTTACACTTTTTGCAGATTTCAAGCTTTGTGATGTTGCTGACATCCTGCTTCGGTGCCTTCCAGAATAAGCAACAAACATCAGAACAGTAATGGATAATCTAAAACAGACAACCTTTTTAACAAAACAACAACCTTTTTGGGGGAGGGGGCCCCGGGGGCCATTGAAGGAGCGTTCACGTCGCGGTCCCTGTCAGATGAAAATCTGTGAATCCCTCAACTACACCCCTCACATGTCTCCTTTTTTGTTGGGGGGGGGGGGGTATTATTAGTTTTGGTGCAATGAAGAAGCCTTTGAATATCTACACCTGTACCTTCACAATCCCTAAAATCCTATTTTACTTTAATTTTAAAAGAAAGAATTCCATGGGATTGCCCATCTTTAAAATTTCCAGGTTGCTAGAATTATTGAGAGGAACAAAATAAATACAGGTAAGGAAATATCTTATTGTGCAAGTCAAATGCATACACGTACTTCTGTTCTTAAAAAGTATGATATTTGGCAGTACTAAAATACATGTTTTATGAGTTGACCTAAAGGAGCATGTGAAATTATTTTTAGGCAAATGCTGATATTTGTATTTTTTCCATATTTTTGCCCCAATGGGCAAATTTTATTTGTATAACTTTTTAAAGATCACATTTACATTTTATGCAACCAATATTAATCCAACATTTATGTTTATCAAATACATGGTTCGCCATCTTAAAATGAACTCGTTACTTTATATGTTTACAATTATAAATAATGCTAAATAATCTCTTTTGAGTATGTGACAATACAAGCAGCCTATTCATACGCTACACGTATTACAAGAAAAAGCTGTTAGGCAAACACAGCTCAGCATGAAAGCAATTGTGTTTAACTATACATAGCGCTTTATATAATATTTCTATGCGCTCTACTATTATCACTCCAACCTATTTTTCCTCACCTACCCTGGTAAGGTGCTGAGGTTTTGTAAATGTGGCAAATGTAGATTAAAGGTACTATGTCCCTTTTGCAGCCAACCTCAAATGCTGTAGAACTTTGCAGGAATTATGAATATGTCATGTATGTCCTATCTGTGAAATTTAAATGTTAGCAGTGTCCTAATATTCAAATTAGGAAACCCGTTTACTTGCTAGACTTCACTGTCAGACACTATTGAGTGACTGACTGGCTTTTTTTCTTCTTTAGTAATAACATACATGAAAAGAGTTGTAAAGGGTACATGAGCATTTGTCTACATCAATAACCCACTTCTTGTGATGGCCAAGATTAAACTGATTGAATCTTTGAGCAGCATAAAACGTATGACCATTCGGTGCAATTGTCTGAAAATCAAGACTATTACTTTTGGGCTCTATAGCCCTAAAGTCGATTTGACAACTAATAGTCGTTATTTTCCCACTTGAAGACATTGTCAAGCCCCACCTTTTTTAGGGAAGTTCTAAATTAGTATTATCTTTCAAATGCAGTTGGAATTTAACTTTTTCATTTTTTTGGCCTGCAAATGGGACATAGTACCTTTAATGTCTTGCCAAAAGACATTGGTGCCTTTTATTACATTATTTCAGAATGAATTGGAATTGGCAGCATTGGATCGACTGCAAAACAGTTGGACGGTCTTGGCAAGCCATTCATTGTGCATTACTATGCAAGCATAATGTGTTGTAAATAAAATTATGTACATATTATTGATATTTAGAGCTTAAGTGCAAATTGTATTTGAGATATCTGTTGTTCATTTAAAGCATGTATATAAATAAATTCTTTAAATCACGAAATGATTTTAATACTGTCATGATTTATTTTGTTCACCTAAACAAAATTGAAAGTGCATTTTAAAATGATGTGTCAGATATCTGCAGTAGGTCTAAGATTACATAGGCTTTCATTTATACAGCTCCATTATGTCAATATTTATGGTAAACACACATGATTAAGTACATATGTTGTGCCTTTATGCAATTCTGATAAATTTATGACCTTAAAAAAAAAATCATCAATTCGGAACGACGCCTAAAAAAGCCCAAAACTGGCGACGTGCAGAAGTAAGAAGAAAAACTCCCATGAACTGATTTTATAATTCAACCATTTAAATCATTTATATTTAGTGTCTTCAAGAAATAAGGACATACTTTCTGGCAAGTCTTGTATCCCATCAAGAGTAATTTTGTTTGATTGTCTACCCCCTATCACTACCTCCAAAAGGTAATTTAAAAATGAAATATCTTTTGATAAACATACTATGTTTTATTAGGTAGCAATGCTGATTTTACATTGCACTACGCCGACTCGTTTCCAATGATAAATTAGTGGCCATGTTTAAAAATTTTAGTAATCGCATTGGATTTCTTTTTCCTAGATGGATGAAAAATTGCATAATACCCCTGGAGGATTTTTTACTTTTTGCCATTTTCATAATCTTTAATTCCTAGGCTTATGTTTAGAATGCATTTCTAACTATGCCTAATACAGGGATATGTATATATTGAGAAAAGCTATATAGGCCTATGTGGGAAATAATTCTTTCAATTTTTTGAATAATTCTGACAGATTTACAAAAATTATTCATTTAAACAATGATACCATCATGAAATATCAGTAATTCACACTGCTTACTAGAAATATCACAAAGATAAATGATTCATAATTCTTGTTTAAAAGAGATTACTTTTTGAAAGCCAATGACAAATATATTACTCTTGTACATGTTTGTTTTTTATCATAATGATTACACATTGTTACCTTCGGTATTACAAAAATACTGTTATCCCTTTTCAGTTGAACAAATTAATTCAATAATTCTCTCAAAGTTCTCTCAAAACAAAAAATAATATTCTCATGGTATATACAAATTTACATTGAATGTTAAGAATAATTATTTTAAAAAGCATTTTTGCTGAAACAAATTTGATTAAAGTTATACGCAATAAGTATTAAGAAGATGACAGCAAGTCCTATTGTGACTACCGTTGTAATACAATTCCTAGTCAAATATGTATGTATCCATGTTGGCACAAGGCAAACATCAGTACTAAGTTTTATCACAGGTATGGTTGGAGCGGGACTGTAATGAACTTCAAGCACAAATCATTTCAGGTTTCTTATAATGCCACATAATTAGTACATTCAGAAAGAGCTTAGAGCCAGAGTACAACTTCATTACGCCACAACAATATTTGGTAAAGTTTCTTTCGTTTGAGTTGATAAATAGAAAAGACATTAACAATTCTTCGCTGCTGCGCAGATTTGTTTTCTTCTTCTGAAGTGGACTATTACACATTATGCAAGAATCGGGATATAATTGCCTGAGACCCATAACAGCATGGGACTTGTCATACAGTGATATATCTACAGTTAAATGTGCATAACTTGAAGTCACACAGGTTCAATCAAAATTTTGGACCACACTATGCAAAATGTGTAATTTAGACTTCCTAAGTCAAATTTGGCAGTGAACTTTTGCAGTCTCAAAAGATTTGACTAACACAGAGTTTACTGTATGTTCTACCTTGGCAATCAAACCTCTTTGTGACATCACAATCCAAACTCTTTGTGACATCACAATGAAACCGTGGCCCCTTGGCAGCTCGACCCACTACCAGCCGTGCAACCGAAGCAGTGGGTGTCAGTCACGATTCCGAGGTCGATGACGTCGGCGGCCGTCGAGATGTCCCAAACGCTGGGCCCTTTTCCCCCGCTAGGAATAGGATGAGGACTTGTGGCATCTGTGGAATGAAAGATACTGCACATTAGTTTTATGATTGCAGGGGACTCGAGGGGAAGTATTCCGGAACCTCAACGTTTAAATGTCAAAATCGAACGCTATTGCAAATTAGTTAAAAAATTGGATCATAGTCAGGTCATATAGTGCTTGGTGGACTTTACCTGTCTGGACATTCAGGGGTCTCCTGCTCTGGAGGTCCAGCTGTTGGTTGAGATCACAGTCAAAGATGCGCCCGTCCCAACCAACGTTGATGGTGTTCCTGCACATCAGACCCTCAACAGCTGCAGGGTTAAAGTTACGGACCAGCATGTCCATGTAGCCTTCCAACTCGTTCCTAATAAAATTGGAAAGATATAGATTTGCATAACTATAATAATGACGAAGAGAAGGAGGAGGAGGAAAAGAAAGAGGAAAAGGAGGAGGAGAAGGAGAATGCTGATGATAATGATGAAATTGATGACGATGAAAATTTTGATGAGGAGGATGAGTATGCTGATGATGGTGAAGATGGTAACAACAATGATGATGACAATGTTGATGATGATGATCAGACCCTCAACAGCTGCGGGGTCAAAGTTACGGACAAGCATGTTCAAGTAGTCTTACGACTCGTGCATAATAAAATTGGACAAATATACATTTATGTTATTATAATGATGATGATGGTGGTAGTGGTGGTGATGGTGGTGATGATAAGGAGCAGGAGGAGGAAAAGAAGAAGGAGGAGGAGGAGGAGAACAAGTAGAATGCTGATGATATTGATGAAAATGATGATGAGGATGATGATGATGATGGTAACAATGATGAAGACAATGATGATGACGAGACCTGCAGGGTTAAAGCTGTGGACCAGCAGGTTCTTCCAACTTGTTCCTAATAAAATTGGAAAGATATAAATTCATGTGAGCATAATGATGAAGAAGGTGGTGGTAGTGGGGGTGATGAGGATGAGGAGGGGGAAGAAGAAAAGAAGGAGAACAATGAGGACAAGAAGGAGGAGGAAGAGAAAGAGAAGTAGAATGCTGATGAAAATGATTAAAGGAGGAGGAAGAGGAGGAGGTTGATGATAATGATGGTGATGATGATGATCAGACCAGCAGGTTCTGCATTGATGGGGGTGATGATGATGGGGAGGAGGAAGAGGAGAAGGAAGATAAGTAGGAAAATGAGAAGAAGGATGAGGAAAAGTAGAATGCTGATGATAATGATTAAAATGATTAAAATGATGATGATGATTAAAATGATGATGGTGATGATGATGATGTGGAGGAAGATGATGATGTGGAGGATGATGATGATGATCAGACCTGCAGGGTTAAACTTGCAGACCATTAGGTTCTTCCAACCCGCTCCTAATAAAATTGGAAAGATATAAATTTATGTGAGTATGATGGTGCTTATAAAGGTAAATGATGATGATGATGGTGATGATGGTGATGATGGTGATGACGATGATGTGACAATGATTATGCTGATGATAAGGATAATGATGATGAGCATGAAAAGGAGGAGGAAATGGGTGATGAGGAGGATGATGATGAAGAAGAGGAGCAGGAAGATAGTATTAGTGATAATGATGAGGAGGTAGAGGAGAAAGAGAATGATAACAAAGATCATGATGATCTGCAATTCTACCGCCTACAATTTTAAGTTCGGCACAAGCACATTCATGTATTCTTCTCATTCATTCACCATACAAGTGGAAAGATACAAGATGATAAAGATAATGATATTACTTCATATTTCTCGCACTTGTCACCATAACCCCTCTTTACGCAAGGGCCAGACATAAGTTGAAGGAGGGATGATGATGATTATCTGTACATATATTGCGTTATTTCTTTCCTTATCATTATCATCTTTGTTAACAATATTCTAATCAATATCATTCAAGTCAGACCAGACCTTTGCATACTCTGATAAGCCTTCTTACCTTCTCACTAAGAAGTCGGTAAACCTTTTGACGGGGATGTTGGTGATGGTGTAGAGATTGTTGAACTTGATACCGAAGGCCTCGTCTAGTTCCTCCTTGTACTTCTGCTCCAAAGGACCCTGCGGGGGTGGTAGGAACGCACCTGCAACAAAAAGAAAGTTACGAGCGCCTTGAGTATTTTGTGTAATGGAGATGGCGCTTCACAAATAATAATAATCAACATCAACATCATCATCATCATCATCAACCTCATTATTATTACGACGTATTTGGTGTTTAGAGCAGAAGTTCCAAATTTGTTAGGTGGGCCAGACATATTTCTGAAAGTATCATGTAGGCTAGTCATCATGTTTCAACACTCCATCACTCACTCAGTCCTCTTGATTTGGGGTTGGCTAAGTATCGTCACAATTGCATCAGTATTTAGGCTTAAAGCGATACCGAACTGATGAACTTTCTGCCCTAGCGTACTACTCATTGCACAGCACCATCTGATGGTCAACTTGCCAACGCTCCGTAACCAATGGCTAATTCCCACTTCGGAGAATGAGGACTCAATGCAAGAACCAACAGCTCAGCCAGGGAAGCAGCGACCATACTGCTACAGCTGACCTGAGATGGCGCTAGAGCGTATTTTGCAGTAGTGTTTCTAGTACAGTTAGCTTTAAAGTAGTATTGCTGAAATAAAATACCCTACATGTACACTTAACAACTAAATTCATACTTCATATCTTTACCGAGTGATGTCTTTCTTTAGAAAAATGACATATTAAAGCTTTACCGGTGATACATCTAAAAGTATTCCAATAAAGGCCCTTATTCATTGTTAATTTCTTTGGTAATTTCTTTGGTAATGTTAGTAATGTTTGATCTTCTTGGTAATTTAAGTACTGGTAATGTTAATTTGTTAAGTTATGTTAGAAATATTTGATCTTCTTGTTAATTTAAGTAATGATAATTTGTTAAGTTATGTTAGTAATATTTTGTGTTCTTGGTAATTTGAGTAATGTTAATTCTATTTAGTAATATTGATTTTTGTTTGTAGTAATTTTGATTTGTGTACATGTACAGCGCTTTGAAACTTTTGTCACAAGCGCTATATAAATTTGTCATATTATTATTATTATTATTCAATTATTCCACCTTTCATTCTCGAATTACGAAAGACACAAAACACATCAAATTTACGATGGGTGTGAATAATTTAATTGTGAACTGTACATGTATTCTGAAGGACACTATACAGCCATTTTACTTATCTTATCTAAAAGCTAAGTAAAAAAAATGACATATTTCAAGGATTGAATTCAAAACGAACCAGACAGTTAAAGACAACAAGTGCCCCGTATGAAAATTCCTTATTTTACAATTCCCTCACCCAAAGACTCTCCGAGAGACTAGGGGGTATTTCTTAATGGGACCACGGGTTTGGTGTGTGCAAGACTTGTACACCCATCAATGGTATTTCCCCTAAGTCTTGTGTCAACAATTTATGGCCTACTGCACATGGAAACTTAGACCCCGTTCTCACTCACTTTGAAAGTGGTCTTAGTTAGACCGCTCCAGACCGCTCCAGAGGAACGGGTCTTGAGGAACGGTTTGCGAGCGTTCACACTCCGAGCAGTTTTTATGGCTCAAACCGCTCCACGAGTCAAAGTGGTCTTGTTGCTATGGCAGCTCAGGTAGGCGGGTCAATTTTTTTGCGCGCGGAATCCAAACCGTATGTACCGTACTACATGTTTCGCACCGAAGGTCACTAGCTCACTTCCGTTCAAAGTACGCTTTCCGTTCACATTGCACGTTAGAGCGCTCTTAATAAGACCCGCTCCTCAAGACCACCTCGGAAGGTGGACTTCTGGAGCGGTCCAGAAGTCCGCTTCCTGGACCACTTTGAGCATTCTCACTCACCTAAGAACCGCTCCTGAGGAGCGGGTCTTAGTTAGAGCGCTCCAGAGCGCTCCAACGAAGTGAGTGAGAACGGGGTCTTACTACCATCTCAAAAGAGTAGGTATTAGTTTTCAACTGATTCTAAGTGGTCGTATTGTCACCTAGAGGGTTGTAGACTAGATGTATTTCCAGACCGCTGTCGGGATGCCCGTATCCTAGATCGTTGAGGGTCTGTAGCGCCACCATGCTGCGCTGGAACACTTGACTGCCCCTCTGGATATTGACATTCTTGGCACTGCAAGGAACAAAATAAAATGATACAATACTCTTTAAAATCTTTAAAGGCATCGTTTAACAATGTTAGATCTGAGATGCATGGCCCTACGTGTCATCAGTGCCTGTGATATGGTGTAATATTGAAGCCCTAAAAAAAATGCGCATCAAAAATGGTCAAGAAGTGCCTCAAAAAAGTAAAAACCTTTGAGTGTCCGGTTTTACGATACTCATTTTACCCAATAGACTGTAGTGTTAGGAAAACGCAAAATTTGATTTCGATTTCAAATCATAAATGTCTTGATAATCAGACAGGCGATCGGCTTGTGAAAGTCATGGGATTCATGTATGACCCAAAGGTTTATAATTATGATTGCTGCATGAGCTAAATCAAGGATTTTTTTTAAAGGATCTGAGACAAAGTTACCGGATCCCTTTAACAGAAATTAGACAATATTCTTAAACAAGATGCCTCTGCTCTAAATTCAGTACAGGAAATGGATGAAATTATTCATTACATATCACAATGAAAACAAAAAGCCTACAATCAAATGTCAATTAATGACCATGACCTTGACCTACAAGCCCCAGAAATGGATCATCTTCCTATGGTAATACTGTCATGATTTGTAAATGTTGCAATAGTAAGACTTAAAAACTTTACTTTTTGAATTGCTATAACGATGATCTTAATTTTAACTTTGATCCAAGACACAAGATTTGATATTCACATGTTGAATACCGGTAGTAAAGATTAAACTAGATGGAATTTTGACTGCGCGCAGTCGAAAATGATGCCTCCGCCATAGAGCAATTTAAACAAGTTTGGAGTTTAAATCTCCAGTGGTTCTTGAGATATCATGATAACAATCTCAATGTATGGAATTTCATAAGTTGACCTCTGTGACCCTTGACCTTTGACCTACGTGCTCCAAAATCTAATCAGATTGTCTTCCTATGGTGATACACACTATCATTAAGTTTGAAGTTTAAATCTCCAGTGGTTCTTGAGATATTATGATATGGTGATACATACTATCATTAAGTTTGAAGTGAAAATTCTCCAGTGGTTCTTGAGATATCGCAATAACGATCTCAATGTATGGAATTTCATAAGTTGACCTCTGTGACCCTTGACCTTTGACCTACGTGCTCCAAAATCTAATCAGATTGTCTTCCTATGGTGATACACACTATCATTAAGTTTGAAGTTTAAATCTCCAGTTGTTCTTGAGATATTATGATAACAATCTCAATGTATGGAATTTCATAAGTTGACCTCTGTGACCCTTGACCTTTGACCTACGTGCTCCAAAATCTAATCAGATCGTCTTCCTATGGTGATACATACTATCCTTAAGTTTGAAGTTTTTACATCTCCAGTGGTTCTTGAGATATCATGATAACAATCTCAATGTATGGAATTTCATAAGTTGACCTCTATGACCCTTGACCTTTGACCTACGTGCTCCAAAATGTAATCAGATTGTTTTCCTATAGTGATACACACTATCACTAAGTTTGAAGTTTAAATCTCCAGTGGTTCTTGAGATATCATGATAACAATCTCAATGTATGGAATTTCATAAGTTGACCTCTGTGACCCTTGACCTTTGACATACGTGCTCCAAAATCTAATCAGATCGTCTTCCTATGGTGATACATACTATCCTTAAGTTTGAAGTTTAAATCTCAAATGGTTCTTGAGATATCGCGCTAACAAACTCAATACAAGGAATTTCATAAGTTGACCTCTGTGACCTGTGACCTTTGACCTACGTACTCCAAAATCTAATCAGATCGTCTTCCTATGGTGATAAATACTATTCCCGAGTCTTAAGTTTAAATCTTAAATGGTTCTTGAGATATTGTGATAACGGTCAAACGGGACGAACGTACGGACGTACGGACGGACAACCCGAAAACATGATGCCTCCGGCACCACCTTCGGTGGCGGAGGCATAAAAACAAACCTTATCTACCTTCATCAGACATAATTTTAACTGGAGGCCCTGTGTGTAGGAGAGTCACAACCTACATGTTAATATGCTACTACTTGCAAAGAGAAGGGCATAAACCCAGTGTTTAGTGTGCCTGCATTCACAACTCGTAATCTTCATGCAGATCATCAGGGTAGGCTGCATAGATCTTTAAAGATAACAAGTAGAAGAAGAAGTCCAGCTGTCATGAGGCATTACAAAAAGATGTTGTATTGCCCTTTGCGACCGACCCAAAAATCTTGAAATCTAATGTCGGCTTTAAAAAAAAAGTGTATTAAAGCATTCAAACTGAGAAATATCAGCCCAAAGAGGAAGTTTTTAAAAAAGTTGAAAAAAAAAAGATTTCCGACCAACCGACCCATGTTTTGGCACCGAAAGGGAAATGCAACATCTTTCTTTTTTTAGGCCTTATTCTACTAACCTGTAACATGGGAGTGATGCTATAACCGTGATCCCATTCTTGGCGAGAAACTCAGCAGTGTCTTCTTGACCCGGTTCAAGCAGGGCCGTCAGGTTGCATCGGTCAATGACCTCACGACCCATCCTACGACCCTCGGACGCCAGGTAACGGAACTGGGAGCACAACTCAGGGGCTCCACCTAATAAATAAAATGAAGACGTTGATGCAGATTCAAACCTTCTGCTATTAAAGCCTCACTGCACTACTTATAGTTATTGTGCCCTCTATATATAGCAAACAATGCCTATACAAATCGGTGACCGTTGGTCCCCCATGGTCCCCTTTTTGTTATGTTAATTGAGACCTGATTTGATGAGATAACCACCTGTCAAAGTTCTACAGAATTTGATGTTGGCTGCAAAAGGGACATAGTATATTTAAGAAAGCTATAACATGCTTATGCTTGTTAAAAAAGCAACCGGGGGGGGGGGGGGGGGACCTCAATGTACCTGTATAGCTATTTAGTTGTAAAGTTGGTATTCTGGTAAAATTTATATCTAAAGTTGGGTTTCATTTCAGTCTAATTCAACAAAATAAAGTTAACCAAAATATTAATTTTCCTTTTTTATAAAGGAACCTAGATCTTACCGTAGGCAGAATTCTGGCCTATTAAAGAGTTCATATACCAAAACTAGATTAAACCAGATTTATAATCATCTATAAAACTACAAGCCATAGAGCTTCAAAATATGCTATGATGAAACCTGCTTAAAGGTAAAGACCAGTATTGGAAACGCCCCAATTTCAAAAAATGAAATGGAAGCTCTTATTACCAATCATGTGAAAGAATATATTTTGACTAATACATGATGATAAAAATTTTGCCGGGAAACCGCCTACTAATTGATATATTTGGTAAATTAGTTTATCTACATGGTCTGTGAGAGATAAACGCACATGTCGCGCACGTGTGCGTATAGTCCCATATACATCTTTCTGTGTACAGTGCTTGTAACTTTACGAAGACTGGGCCTAATTTCTTATCATTTTGATGATTCCAGAACCTCGCAGTACACACCAATACTTATATGCTAGATGATCAACCTTTTCTGATCGATTCCACAATGTTTCTTTCACAATGCAATCGCATGACCATAACTGGTCTTTACCTTTAAGTGACCACCTGTATAGAAAGACCACCTGTCTGTAAAGCCACATTTCTTGTTTCCCTTGAAAATCCTTCCTTATGGAACTATACTAAAAGAACCTGTACCTAAAGACCTCCTGCCTATAAAGACTGCTTTCCTTGTCTCCCTTGAGCAGTCTTTATATTCATTGTATTCTGTAATTCACCAACCTGTAAGATCTAGAGTGTGCACACTGGGACTGCTCTCCAGGATGGCCATGCACTTCTCGGCCGTCTCTCGATCCATCATCTCCTTCCTCCGAGGTGAAGACTCCACGTGGCAGTGGTTACAGGCCTGGTTGCAGTGCAGACCAATGTTGAGCTGCAGGATCTCGATCTCGATCTTCCGCAGGAGGGAATTGCATTTCTCTGTTGAGATAGACATAAAGTTTGTTTGTTTATTTGATTCACTCGACTACTAAGAAAGCATGTGTATGCTTGTGAGTAACCAACCAGAAAACGTAACGGCTGTAAGTCCTCTCCGAGGTTCTTAGTGATGAGGATTAATGCCTTACCAAAGGGCATTAGCGCACTTGCAGTAGAGACCTATGTTCAGCTGCAGGACCTCGATATCGATCTTCCGCAGGAGGGAATTGCATTTCTCTGTTGAGAAAGAAATAAAATTATTTTCATTGCTTTGTTCAGAGATACAGTCATGGTGTAGTCTGTGTGTCAAGTAAACACAACCCTCTTAGAGACCTACAATTCAGCTGCAGGACCTCGATCTTGATCTTCCGCAGGAGGGATGTGCATTTCTCTGTTCAGGGAGAAATAAATTTTGTTTGTTTATTTCACCTGACTGCTAAGAAGAATGATCAAAATCCCTTGGACAGGAAGTTCTCAGACGAGCTGGAGTGCAAAGGAAAATGATACGTGAGATGTTGATTAGGCAGTTGAAGTTCATGGGTCACATTACACGTACAGAAGGCCTAAAGAATCTTGCTTTGTTTATTTCACCTGACTGCTAAGAAGAATGATGAAAATCCCTTGGACTGACAGAGTTAGTAATGAGGAAGTTCTTAGACGAGCTGGAGTCCAAAGGAAAATGATACGTGAGATGTTGATTAGGCAGTTGAAGTTCATGGGTCACATTACGTGTGTATTTGTATTTTATATACTTTACCTTAGTTAATTATGTCATTTGTAGTTTAAGGAGCCTATCCACAACAAGCTCTGCTTTTCCACAGGCTCCACCACTATATCTCTTAAGTTCAACTTAATGGACAATATTCTGAATAGTGTGTACCGGTATTGTATGTACATGTATATTATAATCATTTTCAATATGTTGTTACACTCTTTGTAAAATAAGATATTGTGGAAACCAATAAACTATCTATCTATCTATAAAGAAGGCCTAGAGAATCTTGTTTTGACAGGGAAAATTGTGGGAAGAAGGAGTAGAGGAAGAAGGAGGATACTTTGGATGTTTAGTCTGTAGAAATTGTTGGAAGAGAGGAGTGAAATAACTGGGAGTGGTGGTAATAGAGCAAGCTAGGAACTGAGGGTTGTGGAACAGCATGATTGCCAAAGTCAATTGATATACTGAGCACTTACATGTAGAGAGAGAGAGAGAGAGACAGCTAAGAAAGCATGCTTGTGGGTAACCAACCAGGGAACTAGCAGCTTTAATTCTTCTCCGAGGGTCTTAGTGATGAGGATTGTTACACCTTACCATAGCGCACTAGCGCATCGATTTGGTTTCAAAACCAGGACCCCTCTGTCACTAGACCACTACCGTACTTTACCACTGAGCCATAGCACTATGTGTTATCAGTGTCTGTGATATGGTGGAATATTGAAGCCCTTAAAAAAATTGTGCTTCAAAATGATCATGAAGTGCCTCAAAAAGTAAAAATCTTGAAGTGACTGGTTTTCCATACTCATAACCCCCAATAGACTGTAGTGTTATAAAAATCGTTGGGAATTTTTTTTTTTTAAATTTTGATTTCCAATCATAAATATCCTGATGATCAGACAGGCAATCGGCTTGTAAAAGTCATGGGGTTCCTGACTGACATAAAGGTTTATAGTTATCATTGCAGCATAAGCTAAATCCAGGATTTTTTTTCAGAATCTGAGACAAAGATACCCCATCCCTTTAGCAATTAATGGTTACCTCCCGTTTCTTCATGATGGAACCTTTTGAGGAAATCTCTGAAGGATGGAATACCCAGGTGGTCTAGCGCCCTTTGCTTCTTCTTTCGCTCTTCCCTCGTCAGTTTGGCCTGCCCCATCTCCTTCAGCTTCTGGGCCGTGATCTTGAATTCTTCGTCTTTCTCCATCTCCCTCAGAGTCTCAGGGATGAGGGAGTCCTAGGAGAGAGAGAAAATAGAGTTTAAAGGTACTATGTCCCATTTGCAGACCAAAAAATGAAAGTTTAATTCCAACGGCATTTGAAAGATAATACTAATTCAGAACTTCCCTAAAAAAGGTGGGGATTGATAATGTCTTCAAGTGAGAAAATAACGACTATTAGTTGTCAAATCAACTTAGGAGCTGCGCAAAGATTCAATCAGTTTAATTTTGGCCATCACAAGGAGTCGGTTATTGATGTAGACAAATGCTCATGTACCCTTTACAGCTCATTTTATGTATATTATTACCAAAGAAGAAAAAAAGCCAGTCAATCACTCAATAGTGTCTGACAGTGAAGTCTAGCAAGTAAACAGGTTTCCTTGCATAATTAGAATATTAGGACACTGCTACATGTAACGTTTAAATTTCACAGATAGGACATACATGACATATTCAAAATTCCTGCAAAGTTCTACAGAATTTGAGGTTGGCTGCAAAAGGGACATAGTACCTTTAAGAGAACGGTAGGTTCTGGCAGGTAAAACGATGGTTCTGACAAATATAAGACATAATTTGTGAGTCATTTTGTTAACGTCAGTTGGGAAGAATATCATAGCAGAAATGTCACATTTAAAGCCCGTCTGTACTAGTTTGGCCAGGAGGGATTAGACCTCCCTGCAAGGTCACTGACAGGTGGTTATCTCATCAAATCAGCTCTCAATTAACAAAAGAAAAAGGGCTTCATGGGGGACCAACAGTTACCGCTAAGGCTTTGTTGGCTATATAGAGGGCGCCAGTGGCGTACGCATGATTTTTTCAAGGAGGGTGTTTGAAAATTTGATAATCGCGCCGACCGATATTTTGCTCGGGTGGGGGGGGGGGGGGGGGGGGGGGGGGAGTGAGAGATTTTTTTTTTTTTTTCACACAAAAATTGAGGGGGGGGGGGGGTTTAACTCCCAAAACAAAACTTGGACTGAACCTCACAGGACACCATTTGGCACCATTTGGCAATGGGAACACAACACCTTGTTAACTTGACACTTGAGGAATTACAAAAAATCAGTTACAACATGTAGTTGTATGGTGCATGAGGGTTCCTTTTCCACAAATGATAATGTATCATTATAATTTTACTGTAGCAGTAGCAAACTCATATTCATATATTTGTATCAGACTGGTCAGTTTCTTTGACTCTGTGTATATTATTTCTACCATTGTCATCTATCTGTTTGTATTTGTAATCCAACCTCAAGTTTCGGTTGCTATAAAGAAATAATAATAAAGTACATGTAGACCTTTGTATGAAATAGAGGAAACTTGTAAAGGTCACTGCCTGTATCCCTAGATTCCAGGCGACCTAAAGTGAATTGAACTGCTCTCTTTGTCCCATCGATCTTGATTCTCAACTATACGCACAAGGGCAGAAACCCAGCAGATAATGATCATTTGTACAAACTTTAAAACCCATCTAGACAAATACTGGAGGCGTGTTAATGACAGTTATGTAATATTTATTTATTTATGTAAAGTCGGTTTATTTATATACGGTACATGTAAAGGTGGGAGCAGTCTTTTCCTATTCTTTTCACATAGACTTTGTCTCAGATTCTGAAACAAAATCCTGGATTTAGCTCACGCTGCAATAATAATTAGGAACCTTCAGGTCAGATGCAGGCACCCCATGACTTTTACAAGATATTTATGATTGGAAATCGAAACCAAATTCTGCGTTTTCCTAACAGTTTTCATTAAAGATAAACTCCAGTACTGGTTAAAAAAAAAAAAAAAATTCTCACAGAATCAAACGAAACTTACACTGAATGTTCAAGATTACAAATAAATGACATGTGCCAAACAATTTTGGAAGAAAAAGTATACTGGCTGAGTAATGAGCATAGAAAGACGAGGAAAGCAAGGTAGTACTAGCCCCGACACCATGTGTGTTGTCCCATATATAGCTTTCTATGTGAGTGCTTGTTACTTTACCAAGACTCGGTCAAATTTATTATGATTTTGATGACTCCAGAACCTTGCAGTGCACACCAATACTTACATGCTACATGATCAACTGTTTCTGATCCTTTCCACACCTTTTCTTTCACAATGCAATTGCATTACCAGTACTAAAGTTTATCTTTAAACTAGACCTAAGTCTACAGTCTATTGGGGAAAACGAGAATGGTAAAACCGGTCACTCAAAGATTTTTAATTTTTGAGGCACTTCTTGATCATTTTGAAGTGCAAATTTTTTAGGGCTTCAATATTACACCATACCACAGACATTGGTAACATGTAGGGCCGTGCATCTCAGATTTAACATTGTTAAACGATGCCTTTAACAATAACAGTAAGTCAATAACTACAATGTACATGTACTTGTTTGTTCCGTTTTTCCATGTAATCATGCAAAAAAAAAAGAGATAAATTTATAGAGAATGTTGTCAAAAAAATTTTAAATTGCCGACTTTGTGGATAGAAAAACCATGGCTTAAGTTTGATTGAATCTCTCAATAGTTTCTACCCAACTTCAGGGAAATGCAGAAAGAGTTGATCGATAAATTAATGAATATCCACACTCCAGTTGGGTGAGGCCGATTGAATTTTGACTGAGACTAGAGAGGTTGTAACTTGTAAGTTTTGTTTTAACCTGTTTAGTTTAGACTCTATTTTGTTTTGAATTTGACAATTTACTCACCATTTTGGCCATTTTCAATTTCACGCGTTCTTTCTTCTTCTGTAACTGTGCATTTGTTGTGCTTTGCGTCGGCTTAACAGGTCTTGCCAACTTGTGTTCATGGATATCTACACTTGTATTGAAGTCGGGCAAGTCCGGAACAGAATTGTGCAAGTTTAAGTGAGTGTGGAATGCGGAGGTCGGAGGTAAGCAAGGGCCATGAGGGTTCGCTCTCCCCCAGAACTCTGGCGTGGATCCGCTGGTGAGAGTCCCTCCTCTAAGCGCCCGCCTGCAAATTGATGATGGCAAGCGAAGCATGTTGATATCTTCGTGTAACTCTTCCCAGGAGCAAGAGTACGAGTGTAACTCTGTATCAATTCGAACTCATATAAAAACAACTGAATTGTGCTGAGCTGAGAAACCTCAGAGTCCGTAGTTTCTAGATAGATCTCTCTTGCACAAATGCACTGCACTAACTGCGCTGCGAGCTGCTAGCTGAACAATAACAGATCCTGGCAATCGTTCACAGGTAGTCACGTGATGATATCAAAGTCACTTGACTACAACCAACAACATTCGTCAGAGGCAATAAAGCTGGAGAACCATTCGAGATCATTCAAGTCTACGCAGGGGCGGATCCAGGATTTTCTAAAGGGGGGGGGGGGGTTATGAAATTGTGAGCTCAAAGCAAAGCTTTTATGGCGTGGGGTCCGGGGCCCGCTTAAGGGCCCCGGAAAATTGTGAACCTTATGTATAAGATGCTCTATGGTAGGCCTACCTATAGTATACGAGACATTTCGTCGCTGTTTTCACGAAGTGACGGTAGTGAAAAAAAATTGCATTCACTTTGCGTTACGATTTTCCTCACTACCGTCACTTCGTGAAAACATATCAATCGAAAAACATATCTTAATACATACACACAACTTTAGGGAAGTGGAGAGGAGAGAGAGAGAGAAGGATACATGAAATCTGCTGGGGAAAAAAAAAAAAGCAATTAAAACTTGCTATATCATTACTCGAAAGCATGTCACCCCCCAATGATTATAGTAGGTAAAAGTCATGCGCTATATAAATAATCTCATGAACTAACTCATATAAACTAATAAAGCCCACAAGTGTTTTGCTTATGCAGTTGTCTTTCTCCTAATAAATAAATAAACCCTCTACACATACAGGTACACGACGCCCCCTTGTCTATATGCCAGAGTGACCTAGGTTGAGTCCCGGCCCCCCCCCCCCCCCCACTCAGTGTTATTTAGGGTACGCATATGCTCGTTCCCTATTTTTTAAAGCACCCCCTATCTGAGGACTGCCAACATTTTCGAACCCCCCTTTCGCGGGCTTTTCGCGGCCTTTTCCTGCTTTGGAGACCCCCCTAAATCAGGAAAAATGCTCAATGTACCCCCCTAAATTCTGAATAATTTCTCAGGAGTCCAAAGAGATAAGAAGAAAAAAAAGAAAAAACACCCCTTTTGTGAAGAAATCTCCGGTGAAAGTCAAATACACCCCTTTTTTTACAATTCTCGGGCCGGACTTTGTCGCACGAAAAGTACCCCTTTACCGGACATTTTGGCAACACGCATGCGGTCATTCCGACCCCTGAGTGGGGGGGCCGGGGGTTGAGTTTATCAACCGAGAAGCGTACGGCGTAACATAACTCGCTGGGCTGGTAAGAAGGCATCATAGAAAGGACAGGGCCAGCGTGAGTTGGAACTGTGTGCGGATCGTGGTTTAATTTGAAATAATTTTTTGTTTTTATTTTTTTGTAGACTATGACTAATATTTTATTAAAATGAGATTGGAAAAAGAAAGAAAGAAATAATAATTTTACCAAGACATTAAAAGAAAGAGATGCGATGAAATTGGCAACAATAGTCAAATTTGACTAATAGCCATTATAATACCAAACGAACAACAACAACAACAGAAAACAAGGACGATTTCTTAATGGTAAACTGAACATATTTTGTTGTCGGAAGGAAAAAAAAGGGGGGAGGGCGTGCATCGAGTGGTAAAAGATAGTGTGATAAAAAGAGAGACAGTGAAAGAAAAAAGAGAGAAACGAGGGGGAAATGATACACTGCAATAGCCTTATTAATTTGCATGCATGACGTTTCATTATCCGAGGAATACCGACCGGCGTATGCCGTGTTGTTCCCCCCCCCCCCCCCCCCCCCTCCAACAAAAAAATACAAAGATAATTATACTAAAGTAGTCCCTCATAATTTTTGATGTACGTTAGGCTATAGCGGACTGATTACCATAATTTTGGGGCCTATATCATTTTCAGCTAAGGGTCTTACAACATTTACTATTAGTGCTGTTGATGATTTTGTTTGGCAGAGACGTATATGGCAAGCCCAGTGCCCAATAAGTCCGATAATGTCCGTTTTCTGCCGATAAACTAAGAGTTTATCGACCCCAAAACTGAGTTTATCCGTTTTTCGCCGATAAACTGAGAGTTTATTGACCCCAAAACTGAGTTTATCAAACTATAGAAACTTATTTTTTCGAGGGCAACATACTCTGAATATCAAGTGATAAACTCGGGTTTTCGGATAATAGCTTTACACTTGAGTTTATCGGACTTATCGGGCATTGGGTTTGCCATAGACATACAGTTATAGATTAATGAGATCAGGTAATGATAGCAAATACATTCTCACAGAATCCAACAAAACTTACACTGAATGTTCAAGATTACAAATATGACAAGTGCCAAACGATTATGGTAGAAAATGAATAGGGGCTGAGTAAAGAGCACAGATAGATAAGGAAATCAAGGTTGGTAAAAGTAGCCAGACACCATGTTCGACACCAACTGTCACTAAATTATTGTGCAAAATAATGATAGTTGTGTTTTGTTTTTGTGTTTTTTTTTAAGATGGTTTCCAGCAAGTTTTTGTGAGTTTATTTTTATTTTACCAGTTCAAACAATCAATCTTCTGCAGGATAAACAATCCAGAAAGATTTATAGCCATGTTCTCTCGACATATGGTTTCCATACCAGAGCTCATTAGTAGCTTTAACTTTGATGTAAAATATAAGGAAAACAAACGTCTTTGGGCCCCAACGCAACAGGTTTTTGTATTTATACAAGACATTAATTTTCCAGAATGAATAAACAGTAAATCGTTGAAACCGGCAACACGTGAACTTTAATGTTTACTCTGCTACACTAATAATTCGCAAAAGGCAGCATTTAATTGAGTACTCAACTTGTTACGACAATGTTATCTTGAGCTCAAATATTGGTACATATAGGCCTAAGCAATTTCGCCAATGATTCATCATTTTTACATCAATCATACGGCATTGGTTGTTATTGTATTTTATCTTTATCCTTCTTATGTCTTCTTGTCTTCAGTTCTCTGTTAAACGGACAGTTTGGTTTTCTTTTCAATGGGAATAAGTAATTTAGCCAATGATTCATCACTTTTTAATCAATCATACGGCATCGGTTTTTATTGTATTTCAGTTAATAGACGTTGTTTACCTTTATCCTTCTTATCTCTTCTTGTCTTCTCTGTTAAACGGACAGTTTGGTTTCCTTTTCTGTTATTTAGCTCTGGTGGTTCGTAATGTTATGACCCAGAGCATAATAACAGGGATTTCAATAGGAAATCTATTTATTCGGATAGTCATATCTCAGCCAATACTTTACATATTCGATTGGTTTTCGACATTATTTTGGTCATGATTTTTGATGCTCTTTCGGGAAATGAAGTTCAAATTGAGAAATTTTAAAAACAGAATTTTATGATGTCACAGCTTCGGTACTCTATTATGCCTTTTGTATAATGGTCAACATTGATGCTGGTTAAAGGGCGAGAGAGAGACTGAGTGAGAAAATGAGACAAGAGCAAGATCGAGAGCAGTGTCCGTAACGGTTTTAATTAATTTTTTAACGATATTATACCCGGCTGTAGATAGCTGAGGCGTCATAATGATTATGGCTCAAAAGCATTTACGGAAATTCTTCCTTTCGTGTATAGGCCTTCCCGTTTACTTCACCTAGGTGGAGAGTGGGCAAATGTAGATCAATGTCTTGCCAAAGACATTTTTAGTGTCGGGACTCGGACCGCAAACCACGTGATCCAAAGTCCGGTGACGTGTACGCTTGACCGCGACACCTCTGCATTTAGTCCACCTATACAGTGTGTCCCGAAAAAAACTATACACTTTTAAAATGGCTGCCGAGTAACAAATATATGATTCTAGGGGGAATTTTTTTATATGTATGGAAAGCTCATAAACTCAACTTTCATATGACACCAAAAAGTTTGAAAATAATTCATGCTCGGGTGAGCACTGCTCACTTTTGTAAAGGGTATGGAATTAAGTTGCGCAGGAATTAGCCTTCCAATTTGTGAGAGGTAAATCCTTTGGAGCTTAAAACATTGAGGGTGATATGATACATTCATGATTTGCTGAGTGAATTTCATGGTTTATTAAACCAAACTTTTATGCACGGAACAGGAATTTAAATTGTTATTGTAGCATTGTAACTTTCCCTGGTAGACTCAGTGGTGTGTTCATGAGAGTCAGGATGGGGTGATGGTACATGTTGTAATTTCCATGTTACAAACTGTTTATTTTTTACATTTGTGACTTTGAATAAAAACCTTCACCCTACATTTCAGTTACCATTTACCTGAAGAATAAGTAGCCGACATCTTGGACATTCCTTTTGTCAACAAACCGTATTTGAATATTCAATTTACATTATCCCTTCCTGGGTATTGAGTAAATCAATGAGATGTTCAACTAATCTTACAATAATTGAAATGTGGGGTGAAGGTTCTTATTCAAAGTCACAGATGTAAGAGAATAACAGTTTGTAACATGGAAATTACAACATGTACCATCACCCCATCCTGACTCCCATGAACACACCACTGAGTCTACCAGGGAAGTTACAGTACTACAATAAAAAATGCAATTCCTGTTAACTCATGCATAAAATGTTAATCCCATAAACCAAACATTTCACTCAGCAAACCCAAACTTATCACAATTGATCATAAATTGGTCATATAATCCTCAATTCCGTAAGCTCCAAAGGATTTACCTCTCACAAATTGGAAGGCTAATTCCTGCGCAACCAAATTTTGATACCCTTTACAAAATTGAGCAGTGCTCACCCGAGCATGAATTATTTTCGCAACTTTTGGTGTCATACGAAAGTTGAGTATATGAGCTTTCCATACATATATAACTTTTTCCCCTAGAATCATATATTTGTTATTCGGCAGCCATTTCAAAAGTGTATAGTTTTTTTCGGGACACACTGTATATTGTGCTAAAATCAGAGAGAAGGCTCAGTGTTTATAAAGCCCCTCTAAAGTGTTGGGAGCACTAAAAATTTGATGGCAAAATTTCACTTAAATTGTATCACAAACATGACTTGTGAAAGAGGATGATTGTCATTATATTTTCTTCAAGGATTTTCAAAACAAATGTGTTTGAAGTCGAATATTGATGAACCAAATTATGTATTCATTTATCATATTGTCTTCAAACTTTTTTGGGGGGAGGGGGATCTTTGCAGAAGTGAGACTTAAATGACATCTTCTTTCACATTTTACGAATTTAGGGCTCCCAACACTTTAGCCTATATAGGGCTTTAAGGTCTATATACCCCGCTGCAATAAAGTTTTCAATTAAAAGAAGAAACACAAGTCTATAAAAAGAACACTATAGGCCTATTTATATTTTGCAGAACAGTTTATGATACGATATTTTCTTTCCCCTTTAATTTCTTTCTTTCTCTCTATAATCTTTTTTTATTTATTTATTTATTTATAGTTTAACTAATTAATTCTACATCATAGATAATTGGATGAAGAACATTCTCACTGCATTCCTTCGAAGGATATCATGATCATGTAATTCCTCTGCAACTGCATGCCCCTCCCCCCCCCATGCCCATCCCTCCCCCCCCCCCCCCCCACCCCCATATGCCCACTTAGGAAAATAAAAAACGAACACACAATAATTCTAGCCGGATTTTTTTTCTCGCAAACGCTCAACGAAACTCGCCTCTTCTGTTTTATTACATACATGATATTAATATATCTTGTGAGCATCAGTGAAATGCAACATAACAGGAAAATAGGAAATGGATGATTGGGGAATCACAAGCAGGTTAAAACAGAGGAAAGGAAAGACTTCTGTTGCCAGTCGTGCCAGTTACCTCAACCAAGCTGGTATGTAATATGTCCTACTTGTATATTTTGTGTGCAAGTTCTTTCATACGCCGTCTCCGAAGGTTGCGATTGGCAAATGCACCCGCATGGGGATGTGAGGTATTGCGCAATGTCATAGAAATTAGTTCTATGCTCACTTATATGCATAATATATCACCACCGAATAATTACTTTAGTGCCTGATATTGAGACTTAGTTAGAAATAAAACTTCCATTTTTCACATCACCTGTGCCTGCATGATGTGTCCTTTCACATTCTAATGTAGTAAGTCATAGTAAATGACTTATGTAAGCAAACTCTGTAACTAAGTACTTTATCCCCCAAAGATACTCTTTAGATTTAACGAATCAGTAATTACTGCTATTTAATTTAGGTTTCATCAATTGTCACTAAACTAAAGTACCGATTTTGAGTGAAATCAATTGAGTTTTGTACAGTGGTGTTTGAAATGTTGAGAATATATGTTCAATACACAGGACACAGCCAGGATAGTAATGCAGCTGTGTGTGAATTAGGATAGACTAGTATACAGTATAAATCTAGTGTACATCAGTCCCGGGATTTGATTGATTTTTCTATATTCCAGATATTTTATAATCCCCTTTTTTCATTTCTCAGGAGTCCAAAGAGATGAGAGAAAGAAAAAATACACCCCTTTTATTAAAGAAATCTCCGGGTGAAAAGTCAACACCCCCTTTTTTTAGAATTCTCGGGCCGGACTTTGTCGCACGAAAAGTACCCCTTAACCGGATATTTTGGTAACACGCATGGTATCCCTCCGTTCTCGGAGTGGGGGGGGGGGGGGGTGTTGATCATGTTAACTCATATTTCAAACGTTCTCTTCCTAGCTTTCTCACACGTGCAGCATTGCTATCCAGGCCCGGGCCCCATTTCACAAAACTTTTCATCAGTGACAAAATAAGGCGGTATAAACTAGTGAAATCCTTGCTTCTGATTGCATGGTTATCAGCAGATTTTGTCACTGAATTTTGTCATTTGTCATTGAATAAAGGCTTTGTGATATTACGCCTGGTTGTGTATTAAGTTGCGCGACACTGCGCTGAGTACATACACGCAACATTTTGTAAAACCTGCTGTATGATACTTTCCAACGGTTTAACAAAGATTTTAATGAATGTTGATGACAACTAACGAATGGAACTTATACAAGTTACGTTGGTGAAAATTTATTTCGTTTTACAGATATTACATGTATACTTTTGCGATTGGGCCAACCATGTTCCGCCATTTTCTATGACCTCTAATTCCGCTCATGCAACCTCTAGTTCCGCTCATGCAACCTCTAGTTCCGCTCCTTTTATTCCGCATGCGTGCTTTATATCACAGATCCGACCCCTAGTTTAGTTCAATTTCGAATTTTGTTCTTTCCCCTTACCGATTTTGAGTTTTTGTTGTCGTTCATAAATTTGTTATCTTCTACAATACTGCTTTGTGACCTTTCATTCCATAAAATTGAATGTATAGCATGTTTACAAGTTTTTTTTTTCCATACACTGACTTTTGATTTGATTTCTCAATATAATTAATTGATATTGCATTGTTTTTAGGTACTTGACAAACAATTATGTTTGTACATTTCTCCATCAAATTAAGTTTATCGTTACACATCTGACTGATAAAAACACATCATTTTGTTTGTAACATCTTTGGGAGATATGCTTCTATTTAGGATACCAATTTTCTGTGTTTACATTGAGATGTCTCATGAAACGCAGATCCCTCATTAAAATTTATGTTTTGTTTACAAACCATAGATCAGCCTAGATCTGTTTAACTTTAATTTTGATTTACTTGTTTATGTTTGTTTTTTCTTACACTTCTTGCAGATGTTAAGCTAGGTGATTTTGCTGACAATCCTGCTGCAAAGTTGCCTTCGAGAATAAGCAAGAAAGCTTATCAAATTAAATATGATAAAAGTAAGTACTTCCTTTTATTTCATTTATATTAGACCATCTAAGATTGATTACTAATGCTATTGTCTTTGTCTAATTCTGTTTCAGGTTTCTGTTTGTTTCTTATTGCTATTATTTTAGTGAGGGGGGAGGCCGGTGATCTGAGGGCCCCATCTCATAAACAGTTACGATTAATCACTTACTTGCAATTGATATCAATGGCAACTATGTACATAAGTTATAGGAGACTGCAAAATGTGCAATTTATTGATTGGAATCAATCGCAACTCTTTATAAGACGGGGCTAGGTGCATGTGAGCTAATTATGACACAATGAACATGCAAACTGCTGACAACAACTAGATAATGATTATTTGTTTGCTTGTTTGTTTGTTTGTTTTCTCAATGTGCAAATAGCTGACCTGAGGGAAGAGAGCCCATCGCAGGTCATGAGCAAACTGATGACCCATCAGAAGGCAGATTCTAAAGTGGATGAGAAAAGGGGGAAGAAGAAGAAGAAAAAGACTCAGAAAAAGAAGAAGAAGGGAAAGAAGGAGAAGGAGGAGAAGAAGGAGAAGAAGAAAGGGGAAGACCTAGCATGGGACGAACGAGGTTGGGGTAAAAAGGACCAGTTGCACTTTGAGATGCATGCGGAGAGGAATTTTGTGTGCCTATGGTCTTATGATCTTACCTTCCCAAAATTAACATTATAACTTACTTTTTCCGGTCATGATTTGTCCTGCTTCTTCTTCTTCTTCTTCTTCCTCCCCCTTTTTCCCCTTTCCTTCTTATCTGTTTTACTTCTCCTTGTTCGTTTCGTGTTTGTAAATTGTATGTTGTTTTGAAATATTGTCTTGTGTTTTCTAAGTCTTCGTAGGCAAAATTTGAAACATTTATATTTTTATTTTTTTCTGGGGGATCCACAACCTACAAGCACTGCTTTTTAGTGGATCCCCCCCCCCTCCCCCATTTCCTCAGAAATTAAGAAATTCTTGTAATAATTTTATTATGTGCAAAGTTTATTTGTATAGTTTCTTGAAAAAATGAATTATGTATGAAATCAAATATAATATCTTTGTTTACCTTTCTGTTGGAAATGAAATAAATATGAAAAAAAAAAAAAAAAAAAGAGAGGTAAAGGCCGTGGGATGAGGCACCGAAAACGGCCTAGTTTTTCATTTTCGTTCACGTGGTGCGGAGCACTATTACACAATAACCATTTTATAATTACCTTGGAAATATGCAAATTATATAAGCATTGGGTCATTATCAAAATATATTCAGTGTGTATCAAGAAATATAAATGCGCAATAAACATATAATTATTCGATGTTCAGTTATAAGAAATATATGCGTTATCAATGTATATTGGATTTCGGATGTTGGAAAAAATATTTGCGTTATAAAAATATTTAATGTTTATAAATAAATATAATTATGTGTGTAAAAAATTAATACATTTGATGTTTAAAGAGAATGTTGAGTTCTGGGAATTAGAGGTAAAAAATAATTTGTGAGCGTTATCATTGTTATTATGCAAGGGTGGATGAATATCAGATTAAACATGTTTCCTTAAAAGCATGGCTCTTCAAATGCCTTCATATTCTAAATATGACATGAAACATCGTAAAAATCGAGGGGTAGACGTACGGGACGCTGTGAACCGTACGTCACGCTGCACATTAATTACATTAACAATTAATTAACACATTAGTCAGAACTAAAACTTTCCACAAATGAACTAGCCCATAATAGCCACAGACTCATACCAAAAGATAGCCATATTAATAATTTCATCTGTTGTTATTTCTTGTTTAAAGTCTCTGAATGTCCCGTACGTCACAATCCGAATAGCTTGGACCTGCCCTTATACGCTATTAAGATAATATTGGATGTTTATACAAATATTTGCCTTACCAAAATATTTTCGATGTTTTTAAAAATACTTTATCAATCTATGCGATAAAGTTCGAACAAATTATATGTCAACAAAAATATATATTTATAATTAATATGTGCAAGGAAAAAAAACATGTTCAACACAAAAATAATATTTGAAAATTTATATGTACCAAGAAATCAATCATATGCCAAAGACGAAGTATTCTGGGGAAAACCAATAGAATATACGTGTAATTTATAATATCCTGTGGTATAATCCAGAAAATAGTTACTGTATTATATTGTTTGGTCCTATTATAATTATGCGTGCGCGGACATATTTTGTTTTGTACGAGAATTCTGTTCGTACGAGAAATTTTGTTGTAAGAGAAAATATATGTTTGTACCCCCCAAAAATAGATGCACTCTATTGCCTTTGGTAGGCTTTGAATGGATCTCATTCACAGACCCGGTATCTAGTCCCAGCCATGCAGAGTTCCGAAGCATGCTGCTACATTGCTATTGCTGCGTCGTACAGTGGGCCAGGGAGGAACCAAAGTGCGCCAAAAGTTTTGGTGATTTATTTTTACAATTTTTTTTCTTGCCCAGTTGACAGATAATACATTAAAGAATATTTCAGTAAAAAAAAAATCTAATTCCGGTATGCACAATCGAATTACTCCAACAAACAGCAAAATCTTACATAAAACACAATTTTGGCGCACTTTGGCTCCTCCCGAGCCCACTATGCGGCGCACAAACACACAGACACACCCCCTCACTCTCTCACTCTCTCTCTCTCTCTCTCTCTCTAGCTCTCTCTCTCTCTCTCTCTCTCTCTCTCTCTCTCTCAAGGGAAAGGACAGTGAACTCCATGTGAAGTACCGTGAACTCTGATTATTATTCACATAATCTCAAGACTTTAAAACGATAAACCTTCACATAATTTAGTGTCAACAACCTCAGGGTTTGAATTAATACAATCCATATATCTTTACATGTATTTCTACCGTGAAGGTATAGGCCTATAAAGATAAGGGGATCCGATCGATTGTTTTTTTAATTTTTTATCTACACTTAACAAAATTTGATTTTTGTTTGTTCATTATGCAAATCTTCTTGTGAGATGATCAGAGAGTCTTAATAGACACACGTTATTGTCACCTGAGTTTACCCAGTTGTGACATAGTTGTTGTTGTTTTTGTTGTTGTTGTTATAACATACATGTGTATTAAAATTTTGCTTGTCCGAAATGTTTAGGAATAAATAGATGTACGTGTTGATCTTTTACAAAATTATGGGGTGTCAATAGATACATACTAGCCAACTGGCTATTAGCACCCCCGCCTCCCCCCCCCCCCCCCCGGCCCCTGGCCAGCTCCTCCCAAATAAAGAAAATAGAAATTCAGAAGGGGAATTAATATTGACAAAAACAAGAAGATGGTAACAACCGAAAACGACCCCCCCCCCCCCCCCCCCGTTAACTTTTTTTTTCTTTCTTCAAATTCTTTGATTGTGCATGCATGCGCAGTACGTGTGTACCTTTCTTAATTTCTTTCCGTTTTCTTCTTCTTTAATTTTGTTTATTTCTCTTTCTTGAATTCTTTTTAAATTTCGTTCTTTCTTACCATATTATGTTGGGTATAGAACAATCTGTACTCCCCTCTTAGGCCTGTATACCCCCCCCCCCCCTCCCACTCCGGCCCGAGAATTGTAAAAAAAAAAGGGGGGTGTATTTGACTTTTCACCCGGAGATTTCTTTTAAAAGGGGGTGTTTTTTCTAAGTTCCGGCTCATCTCTTTGGACTCCTGAGAAATTATTCTGAATTTAGGGGGGGGGGGGGTACATTGAGCATTTTTCATGACTTAGGGGGGGGGGGGGGTCTCCAAGGCAGGAAAAGCCCGCGAAAAGCCCGGCCGCGAAAGGGGGGTTCGGAAATGTTGGCAGTCCTCAGTTAGGGGGTACTTATTTCAAAAAGAGGGAACAAGCATGCGTTCCCTAAATAACACTGAGTGGGGGGGGGGGGGGGGCGGGCGGGCCTGTATTATACCCCCAGGTTTTCTTAAATACAGTGCTAGGATGGCTGGGTTAGGTTTAACCCCCCCCCCCCCCCCCGCCCCTGATTTTGTAACAAAAAAATTATATAGGCCTAAACAATATTATAACAAGAGCATGAATTGGGCGCGCCGTTTTTTTTAGTGAACGAACTAAACAACGGAACTCTCCTTCCGAATCATTTTTATTTAATTTTTTGTGAATATCCGTGAAATGCTACAGGGTAAATAGGAAATGGGAGATTGGAAAATCACAAACAATGCCTCGAAGGTTGAAACAGAGGAAAGGAAAGACTTCTGTCAACCAAGCTGGTATGTATGTGTCCCACGTATCGATTTTTGTGTATGTCCTTTTTTACGCCGGCTCCGAAGGGTGCAACTGGCAAAGACAGCCGCCCGGGGTTCTGGGGTGCAGGTAGCAGAGTTCCTGCAACGTGGTAGGCGTGTGGTGTGTATTGACTATTTATATTGCGCAATGTCAGTTTGGATCATTTACCTCATTGCGACACAAGGCCAAGGTGTAGATCTAGACCTTATTCTGATTCATTTTTTAGTCATGTTATTGTTAACTCATATTAATTCAAACGTTCTCTTCTTACTTAATCTTACTTAAGTTGAAGTTCTGAATACAAGTTTGTCAATTATCCTGACCCCTGACCTAAAAGTGTACTGTAGAGTCTAATGCTGTATTCTTAATTTTGCTTTTTTTTCAAACAGAAAGTCAATAAGTTTTTATTTAATAGGGAGGCCAATACCAAAATCTAAATTTTTAATTACTAATTTATTTATAATAGTCTAAAACCATGTGTAAAAGAAAGTATTTTCTTTAACTAAGACAACTCACCCATCTGCCGACTCCAGAAGTTCCATAAAATAGGAGATATCCAGCTCTAAAGTAGGCTGTTCCTTCTACGCCATGCCAATCTGTCCGTAAGAGCCTTGAAATAATCAATTTTATGTCGCAAAATTACATTCATAATTAGACAGGTCCGAGGGAATGGGCGTGTCATTGCCCGGACAACAAGTTTAAAACTTCGCGCGAAAGTGCATTCACTCATCAGCTGCTAGCCTTGAATCGGTCGCACACCGACACAGTACAGGCCAGCTACGGTCTTTAGGATACCAATTTTCTGAGTTTACATTGATTTGGCTTATGAAAAGCAGATTCCTCATTAAATTCTTCTTTATACATACATGTAGCACAGATCCATCTGAATTTATTTTAAGTATTAAATATCCACTTTTGTTTCTGTATGCAAAACAAATAGACTTCTGTAGTTCTAATCTCGGTGAACCAAAACTTTGACTAGGAAAATTGCTTGTTGTTGATGTTGTTTCTTTTGTCCTTTTGTTAGCCAATTCTCCAAAATGATAGAAGACCACTTATCTAGTGCATGGATATCTAGTTCGAAAGATCAACCCGCCTACGCAGGCATCAGGCTGGTAGATCTATTGAATTAGTGGAAATCGTGAACTCTGATTTTGATTTATTTGTTAATGTTTTTTTTTGTATCCTTGCATTTCATACAGATTTTAAGCTTGGGGATTTTGCTGACAATCCTGCTGCTAAATTGCCTTCCAGAGTGAGCAAGAAAACTTATCATATCAAATATGATAAGAGTGAGTACTTCTATTTATTTTGTTTATTTATTCGACCATGTAAAATTTAGTACTTAGCCTAGTTCTTTTCTAATACTATTTAATGCTTTTGTTTCTTATTATTATCAATCCCAACTGTACACAAGCGATAGGAGACTGTAAACATGCAATTGATTGCAGAAATTCAGATTGATTGGGATCAATCTCAACTCTTTATAAGACGGGGCCAGGTGTATTAAAAGCTAATTATGACACAATACACATGCAAACCGCTGACAACAACTAGATAATGATTATTTGTTTGTTTGCTTGCGTGTTTGTTTTTTCAACGTGCAAATAGCTGACCTGAGGGAAGAGACCACATCGCAAGTCAAGAGCAAACTGATGACTCGGGAGCCAGATTCAAAAGTTGAACAGAAAAAAGAGAAGAAGATGATCGAGGAAGACCTGGCGTGGGATGAGCGAGATTGGGATGAAAAGGATCTGTCAGACTTTGAGACTAATGCCAGCTTTTCAACTCGCCGACAGTTTGATGACGAGGACAATGAGGAAGTAGCGGAGGAGGATGTAGTGTTGCAGAGAGGAAAGAAAGGTAAGCTTTAGATTGCAAATTGTAATACAAAGTATAACTGCAGCTTTTTTTTAACAAAGGACGGTACAGTCAAACCTCCTTTACTGAACACCTGTCTACAAAGACCACATTTTTTGTTTCCCTTGAAAAATGGTTTCTCATTGAAACATTTACTATATAGTAACCTGTCTACAAAGAACACTTTTTGTGTTTCCCTTGGGCAGTCGCTGTAGACAGGTGTGACTGTATCAGGCCAAGTGTCTTTCCTTTTTTGATATACAATGAAACCTGAATATAAAGACCGCTCAATGGAAACATGAATTGTGGCCTTTATAGGCAGGTGGTCTGAATAGACCACTTTACTATTATCACATGTTCAATGAGAAGCATTGTTTTAAAGGGGATCAAAACATGTGGTCTTTCTATACAGGTGGCCGCTGAAGGAGGTGTGACTTTATCTGTATCCAATTCACTTGGCAGGCAAGATGATTCCTTAAAGCCTATCTGCACTAGTTTGGCCAGGAGGGATTAGACCTCCCTGCATGGTCACTGACAGGTGGTTATCTCATCAAATCAGCTCTCAATTAACATAAGAAAAAGGGGACAATGGGGGACCAACGGTCACCGCTTAGGCATTGTTTGCTATATAGAGGGTGCAAGTAGCTATAAGTAGTGTAGTGGGGCTTTGAAACCTTTTCATCTAACTATCCCGCTACCTCTTTCGTTCAACAGCTTCCAAAAAGAAGATGAAAAAGGATCCTCCACCAGCCCATGAGGGCACCAGAGTGTACCCCACAGATCTCTGGTACGTTCTGGCTGATTACATCAGACCTGAAGACATCACCACCTTCTCCTGTCTATGTAAGGCAGCCTACAGTATCACCAGGACAGTATCGTTCTGGAAGAAATTGTATTCCAGGTAGGTGCTCCAGGGACAATAGACCAGTTCACGGTTAGCACATGTCCCAAATGACCCCAAATATCCACAGATCTTCTAAACTTGAAGATGTCCCACTTTGTACATTTGAAATAATCACTCCTACAGCGATGGATGTGCTACATAAATAGCCTTTGTTTCCCCTTTTCAAAGAATACTTCCACCTGTGTATCATGCTTGTGCATAAATGAATAATGATGACATAACTTTCATGAGCATGTATCCAGTATATATCTCTGTGTAGTTCACAATTTGGTCTGCAATGACCTTTATCTGCTCATGCTCAGACTGCAACTAGGAACTGGCTTATTGTATTGGGTTTGGGTTCAAGTTAAGATTTAGATTAGGTTTTATAGTTACATGTAGGATCAGGGTTGGGTATCTCCACTTCATCTTGCCTTTGAGCAAAAGGAGACTGACGTTCCTTTTCCACATCTCTTAATAATTTGTAAATTTTATCATTTTTATTTCGATATAGTTTTAGCTTACTCACTGTAATGTGTATTTTCATTAGCTATGTTGTGAATTCATAGTTGCTAAAATAGTTAATACAATGTTATGATAGACCATGGCCAGTTTTTCTTGTATCGAGCCATATGACTACAAAGATGTTGAATGTTGAATCTGGATTTTGCCTTTTATGACCGACATTGCCCACTCTTTACTCTCTACTCTTATTTTTACAGATACCTTAACTCCAGTACTGCCCTTCCACCTTATCTTCAGCTAGGGGGGAAAAAGCATACTCGTGGCCTTCGCGCATTTGTCATCCGTGCCCTCTACTTCCTGCACGAACCCTACAGACTTGCACTAAACGTGACCTCTCCTGTCGGAGAGGGTCGTTCCTCACCAGAGGCCATCACAGATTTCACTTGCCTTTATACGTGGTCCTACGGTAAGCTCGGTCACCACTGCACGCACTTCATGAAGCTACGATTGTGCAACACAGAGGGCGCTGTGCCGCATATAGGCGCCTGCTACGATCCCAGCGTCTTCGCTAATGACAACCGTTGGGAATGCATCCTCCGGGTTCACTGCGAACACTTCCAGGATGTGCCATCCGCCAAGATCATGGGGCTGCAGTTGGTGAGGTCTTCGGTCAGCGTCAGCGCCAACATGCGCCATCATCGGGTCAAACTAGAGTTTGGGAGAAAGGGTCGGAGGGGTTTGTACGTCAAGTCCAGCATCGTCCCGGTCTTCCTGGATCCCGTCTTGAAAGTGGACGTCCTGCACTGGTGGCATCCACAGTTCAGGGAGAGTTCACAGAGGTCCATCGATAAAGCGGTTGCTGAGAATGCAGCTAACTTGAGAGAGAATAATGTTTGGGAAGGACTATAAAGTACATGAGATCATATTTTGAGCTGGAAATAATTAATAGTCCTATTAACTCTTATCCTGCCATAATGAATACAGCCTAATGCCCCAGGGCTAATCCCCATTGTGCCAAGCCTCAAATACCCCTGTGCCAAGTTAATTTTGAGATAATCAGATTAACGCGATGGTACTATCAATAGCGCGTGTGTAACACTAGGCACAGTGTAATGGGCATGAACAATAACTGCTATTACGAATGCGAGCATGCATGCACAAAGCAGATAAGTGGTAGCTCGCTTGCATGAATGAAGCAACCAATCGATAGCGTGCAAGCAGCCTTATTTTATGGCAGGATATGAGTTAAAACCTGTACTGAAGGTTGGGGTATTGCACTACTGGCATCCTCAGTTAATGGAGAGTTCAGAGAGGTCTATTGATAGGCAGTTGCTGAGAATGTAGCTAACCTGAGGGAGAATAATTGTTTGGAAGGACTTTAACTCAAGGGATCGCTGTTGAGAGAAATAATGTTTATTTTAGAGAAACATATAAACTATTTTATATATGCCCTCAAGGCCCGTCATGTGAGAGTTCAGAGAGGTCTTTCGAAAAAGCAATTGCCAAAAACGCAGCGCACCTGAGGGAAAATAATATTTGGGAAGAACTATCCATTCATGGGATGGATATGTGATAAATAGCCTTTGTTTCCCCTTTTCAAAGAATACTTTCACCTGTGTATCATGGAGTGCACTGCTTGTGCATGAATGAATAATGATTACAAAACCTTTACCTGCTCATGCTCAGACTTCAACTAGCAACTGGCTTACCGGTATTGTATTGGGTTTGGGTTCAAGTTGAGATTTAGTTTAGGTTTATAGTTAGGATCGGGGCTAGGTATCTCCACTTCAACTTGCCTTTGAGTGATTGGGGACAGACGTTCCTGTTTCCCACCTCTTCATAACTTGTACATTTTATCATTTTAATTTCGATATAGTTCTAGCTTAATGTGTATTTTCATTACCTATGAGAGAAATAATGTTTATTTTAGAGAAATATATAAACTATTCTATATATGCCCTCAAGGCCCGTCATGTGAGAGTTCAGAGAGGTCTTTCGATAAAGCAGTTGCCAAAAATGCAGCGCACCTGAGGGAAAATAATGTTTGGGAAGAACTATCCATTCATGGGATCACTTTTGAAAGAAATGTTTATCAGACAGAACTTCTGAAACTATCCTATGTATGCCATCTCTCTGTAATTTGATTGTTATCCTATGTTCTGGCCTTTCATCTTGGTACTGTAGATCCAACTGTTATGGCCGTATATGTATTTTATGTGAAATTGTTAATGGAATCCTTTCATATGGCAAGAGCCTGAAGCGCATAAACCCGTACCATTAGTGCTAAGTTAATGAGAGCATGTTTGGGTCTTGTGAATTTTCGCCTGCTTTGATGAAAAGAACATAATAGCTATCAAATTTTATTTCTATTTCCCTTTATCTTCTTTGCAGCAACAGTACTTTTACTTTAACATTGCTTAAATGATACATATTATGAGATTCCTTAGATGAAATAAGCTTGGTTTTACCAGAATATTTAACAGTATTTTCATTATTAGGATTTATCAAAAGAATATGAAAAACTACCAACAGCAAAGAGGAATTTTTGCTTAGAAATCATTATGTGTTATGACCAGCAAGATTACCAGGAACACAGGTGAATTTTTTTTTTAATGGCATGTATGCATTTTTACTGCGTGATGGATATAAGCGCTATATAAGTGGCCGTTATTAATAATGATTTAGAACAAATTGGTTGTACGTACCATTGGTATCCAAATGTAATCGTTATTGAAATCTCATTTACTTCTAAGTATTTCACTGTTGCCTTTTGCTTTCCTATTGTGCAATCATTGTTTTTAATTTTTTTAATAGGGGAAATTATTCTCTATATTTTACTGCCATATTGTATCTTCATTACTCAGGCACAACCGTGCCCCTGAAATGGGTCATGAACGAGTATTAAATCTAATTCATTCTGACCTTTATGATGTTGATGATTATGTATTATGTTAGCATGTTAACTGAAACTGAAATAGTACCCCCACACCCCACAAAAAACAAAAAAACAAAAAACAAACAGAAAGATAGAAAAAAAGTGGATTAATGAAACCAGTTAATTCATGAAGAATATATACAGTGGAACCTCCTTATAAAGGGCTCTGATATAACAAGGTATCTGTAATAACTAGGTGATTCTGTTGGTCCCAACTCTTTATATTCTCTTGATTTTATTTACCCTGATATAACAAGATTCCTCATACAACAAGGTAATGTCCAGGATCCCTAGGCCCTCGTTATATCAAGGTTCCGCTGTATACATTTTTTGTCTGCAAGAAGACTGGTAACGTTTCAATTCCTCCTGTAGTGTGCATAATTTTAGAGGAGTAATCTCAAAGTAATCAAATATCATTGGCACCACTCGTAGAATCGTACTTCCCGCTGCCTTCTAAACTGATCAATGATCGTTCAAAGTACATTTTTATTTTTTAGATGTTTTAATTATTTTATGTAACAGATATAGCCATGCATATTATGGCATAGGCATTTTATTACAGTATACATTTTGTTTTATCTTACCACATGCATATGACTTGGTCTCCCACAAATTATAAGACGTCAAATTAACCCTTTGCGAATGGGAACTGCCTGGTCCCTGTATTTAATATGTGAGAATGAGAGATTCGATATTCAAAGGGGTTAGCATGGTCTTCAACGGTATAGTTGGTGATGATATCATATGCAATATGATTGTAAAAGATATGAGGTATGGAAATATGTGTAAAGAGATATATACTCTATTGAACTCAATAAAGCAAATCAATAGTTTTTGAGATGAACATGTGTAGCAGTACAATTATTTATATGTTTGGAGATGGAAGTGATATCCTTGTTATTTGATGGTTTTGTTTGGTTCATAATGTCTGCCTGCCTCTCTATCACTCTCTCTCTCTCTCTCTCTCTCTCTCTCTCTCTCTCTCTCTCTATCTCTCTCTCTCTCTCTCTCTCTCTATCTCTTTTTGCTCAATGCCATTATCTTCCCCTCTTAATTATCTTTTTTTGTCTCTACCAAATTATGTGTACCCTCTTTCTTTCTTTTTTCTTTTGATCTCTCTCTCTCTCTCTGTCTGTCTTTCTCTCACTCTTTCTCATTTCTCGATGCCATTATCTCTCCCTCTTATATCTAGATTGTCTCTACCACATTTGTGCCCCTCTTTTTTTGTCTTTCGCTCTCTTTCTCTCTAACTTGTCTTACTTAACCATTAAAAACGGTTGGTAAGAAAGAATAATATCTGGCTTTGCCAATTTATTAATTGAAATGAATGTTAAAAAATTAACCATTGTAGAGCGTATGACAAGCATAGGTGTATGGGGGGGGGGGGGTTGATAAAAACTTTCCTGTTATAACAAAAACACTTTCTTGTTCTTCCATCATCAAGAATATGTATTGGGAAATATCCCTATGCGATTATGAGGCATATAGCTCGAATATGAGTACATTTGCGAAATTTTGGGGTCTGCCCCCCCCCCCACCAGCACCAATATACAGTATGATGAAGAAGAAAAAAACATACGGTAATATTGAAAGATGGAGATAGTTAATGGAATAACATTCATAGAAATTATAATGTGATCAAAATTTTAAAAAAACATGTTCACTTTATGCCAGGAATAACAAAAAGATTTAAAACAACTATTAAAGATTAATTAATTAAACAAGAAACAGAAAACTAAAAGTGTAGAAGCAGAAAGATGAACGTGCATTTTTTTCTTCATTGAATAAAAAGGAAGATTTTAGTCATCAATTCATTTAGGAATATATATTTTTTTTTTCTTCTCTAATTTCTTTCTGCTCGTGCTATTCGGTTAATAACCATGAGGGCGCTACATATTTATAGTCAAACAAATTTTTACAGTGCTTGACTTGGTCACGGAAGCCGATTTCTGGTAAAATCGTTGTAAGTTTTTGCTTGTTTTTATTGTATTTAATCTTGTTTAAGCTGTATGAAATGAGTCAAACAAATACTAAGTGCATTTAGAATCATGTTAATTTGTATGATGAATGAAATGTGAATGTTGATGGCTATTTGGTTCGTTTAATTCTGACGAGCATTACGACCGGTGTTTCGACTGCTGAACGCTAGCTCTACTTGCGCTTGCTAGCAATGTAAGATGCATTGGCATTTCCATTGTTCATGTTTCACGCACTGAAATAGATGGGACTTGGGAGCTGAATAAACTAAGCGACCTAACGTTAGACCTAAAGTCAGAATAAAACTAAAAGTAAACAAGATTTATCTTTGCATTAAGTATAGACAAGAAATATATTTGTTTTCCTGTAATTATTGTCTTCATGTAATTCTCAACATTCTAAAATTAAAAACCAAATGAGCCAAACATTTCACTTTGAACAAAAAGTAGGGAACAATTGCAGAATACCCTACCACGGTTTTACAGAATTAGAACCAACAGTCTGGCAAAAATAGAAATATAGAACTAGAAGCCAAGTACCAACGACCATCGACCAACAGTCTGACAAATATATTAGAAATTGAAACCAACGACCATCGACCAAATACTATTGAATGGAAGAGTCCAACGACCATCGACCAACAGTCTGACAAATATTAGAAAAAGAGACCAACGACCATCGACTAAATAGTGAGGCATAGATTCTAGGCTATTTGTTTAAAAGAGCCAACGACCAACGACCATCGACTCATAAATATTAAAAAAGAAGCCAACGACCATCGACCAAAGACTCACTATTAAAAAAGAAGCCAACGACCATCGACCAAGGACTCACAAATATTAAAAAAGAGGCCAACGACCAACGACCATCCACCACCCACCAATACTAGTCTAGTCTAAGCACAAAACTATTATTTTTCTTTTGTATTTTTAGAACGAGACATCACTTGTTGATTAAAAAAGCACAAAACTATTATTTTTCTTTTGTATTTTTAAAACGAGACATTACTTGTAGATTAAAATATCTAATAGGGTCTTTGAAAGCAGACTAGCAGTGTAAGAGAGGACACAAGGTACAAACAAATAAGTGTGTGGGACTATGAACGGGCTGGACAGTTTGTGTTACGGGAATGTGCTTAGAATACAAGTAATTCATCTATTAAATGACTATAACAGACAATAAACATGACAAAGGTAAGGACAAGAATCAGTGATTATCAATATAACACACATTTTGCATGAAATACCATCAGGAAAGCCATCTAAATTTGTCACAAATTAGCGACAAACACACCAAATTCAGCGCTGCAATGACGCACAAAACGGCGTTGAATTCAACTTTTCATCCACCAAATGAATTCAGACACTTGCATTATACAATCTTCAATAAGTATCACCGTTATCGCAAATAATAAAATCACAATCTATATCTACGGCTAATATATGAAGACTAACATTATGGTAGGGTATTCTGCAATTAAGCCAAAAGTTGAGAATAAAAGTGGAAATGTAAAAAATTGTAGAAAAAAAAAATGTTTATAAATTGCTTTTTCTGCCCTTTGCCTTCGGCTTTGGCTTTGCATTCAGCTTTGGCTTTGCATTGTCCTGTCATTGACACATTGGTTTGCTATAATTGACATTTACATGAAGTCCCAGACTCTTATTGAGAGACTTGTGTCTTTTTTACATGAAAACAGACATTGAGACAAGCCATTTTCACATGTCAATTGGAAAAACAAACTTGCTCAACACCAACTCCTTAGCTTAGCCTGGGCTTTGGCCTTGCTACATCATTATTGTACATCATGACTAGGAGTAGGAGCTTATGCTGGGTCATATCTTTACCTTTACCTTTACCCGAGATTCTGGAAGAATGCTGTGTTCTCAGCAGTCGGGCTTCCAGTTCAATTTCATTTTCTTCCTTCTCGTAGTTGGGTGTCTTCTTGGTAAGTGTCTGGCTCAGTTCTGCGTCAGGTATTCTACTCATATGGGGAGCAGAAACGCTTGTCCTTCCATACTCGATCCAGTCTGGCTTTAAAGGCATTCACCGTGGTAGCAGTGACTACCTCTTCAGGAAGTGTGTTCCGGTCATTGATGACACGTTGGCTGAATGCATCCTGTCTAATCTTCGTTGAGCATCTTTGTTTTACGATCTTTAGACTGTGGCCTCTTGTGTTGCTAGTCGAGTGTTCAAAGAAGGTATCAACTGGGATGCGTTCAAGTCCATGAATGATTTTGAAAACCTGAATCATGTCTTAATGAATCTGTTACTTTGAGACATCAACATTATATTTCTAGATCCCTCCCCCAAAAAGGCTCCATTATTTCCATACAATTACAGTTTTAAAATATACATTTATATGAGACTGGGGCAAATGAATTTTGATAAATTCCTAATCTACAAATTGTAAGTTTTTTTGAAGATTTATTTTTGGGGGAGTGAAGGCCTGGAGGGTACCTTTATTTACTGGAATATTAGATGTGTGAATGTTCTCGGGCTGAAATCTCTCCTCAAAATAAATATAAGGGTAGGGTGTCTGAACGATTTTTCAATTTTCAATTTGGGATCGTTTTTCACCATTTTTGTTTGATATTTGAATAAAAAATGTAATCAGAATAATACATTTCAAATTTCAAGTCTCACCGATGTTTCTATCAAAAGATACAACCCCTCTGAAAGGCTGCAATATTCATAGGATTTTGCTCAGAATCGATGAAAAAGACATACACGCAGAGTTATGTTGTTTTGCTTAATTTAGCCAAATAGCTGTATCGCGCAATATGCAAGCGTATGCATAGGGTACGCATGTCATGCGCAACTTGCAGCTTGAGCCTCGTTGTCTCAGCGATATGTGCCATTGACTAGTATGGCTAGCCGTTCACGCCATAGAACCTGGAAGTGAATACACGTTATCGTCAATGGCAATATCGCGGAGACAACTTTTTTGTCTCCGCGATATTGCCATTGACTATAACGTGTATTCACTTCCGGGGTTTATGGCGCGAACGGCTATCCATACTTTCATTCACTATACGCGCAGATGTTACGCAATGTAACCAAGGTTTGGACTGAGCGGAGCTCACACCTCCCTAATTAGCTGATTCCAAAAATGTGGGAAGGGTATTTTTAAACTGTTGGGGCGAGTGGTCTCTTGGGGCTAGCGAAAAAAATAAGTGCATACATATTTTCCTTACGTCTTGCCGGACATAAGCCCGGGGCCGCAGCTCAGGAAAGTGGCAAATTTTGGAGCTAGGATGCAAACAACATTTAAATCGCTGTTTTGACCAAGATATTTTTAGCATTTCGGGGTGCGCCCCTTTGGGGAATATGGAGAAAAACCTGCTCTTTCATATGACACCTCATTTATTGAGTTTCACCTTCAGGATCACAAGCCCCAAAGTTTTGAATTTCAATTCTTTCATAAAATCATTGACCAATTTTCATGGTCGCGCAATGCACGTAGACTGCATAGGGAATAGGGATGCGTGCAATCTCTATGGGAAGTATTTGAGCACACAACATCAGGTGCGTGTTCAGACACCCTAATAAGGGTAAGACATCTAAAATTATTCAACAGGCAGAAAAAGGACGTCATTTTGCATGCATGATTTCACTCCCAAAAGTTTTGACAAGCAATCAAGAAAAAAAGAAAAAGAACAAAAACCAAATGGCATCGCCTTCTTTTTACCCTTCAAAATTCAATAGAAATAACTCAATATTTGAGTTGGTGTAAAGGCTTACCGGTATGCTAGTGGTACATTCAGTTGGTCAGCTCTCTGTCTTCGACTATACACTGACTCTGGCGGACTCCGGTTCGAAACTTGAGTCAGGTCTGTCAGAAGGCGAGGTTACTTATAGGTTGGTCCCTGGACGTAAATAATCATATCACATTAATATGTGTCTGTAAAAAATTTTAAATGTTTTTCCAAACACACAACCACACATACTCGATATAGGTCACAAGGTCAAGTCATTTTTTTTTCATTTCTCGCTGGCAGAGAGGAGCAGATCTTCAGCAGCTACCAGATCTCTAAGACGCAGAAGCACAGACCAACAACAGCATGGCGTCCCACTACCGGGATCACGGTCCCCTGGACTGCAAGGTGTACGTGGGCGACCTGGGAGGCGGGGCCGCAAAGCACGAGATAGAGCAAGCCTTCAGCAAGTACGGCACAATCACGAACGTCTGGATCGCCAGGAACCCCCCGGGCTTCGCCTTCGTGGAGTTCATGGATAGTCGCGATGCCTACGATTCCGCCAGAGGCATGGACGGGAAGTAAGTTTGTTCAGATATAATAATAATATGAAAAAAATTATATAGCGCTTGTGACATACAGCTTCAAAGCCCTGTATACAAATTAAGATTACTTCAAGAAAAATCAATATTACTCACAGACCTGCCAACCAGTACGATTTAGTCGTATTTAGTACGATTTTTAGAAGCAAATACGACAGTACGATTTTCCTGAATAAAATACGATTTTCAAAACAAAAAAAAAACAATTTTTTTTTTTTTTTTTTTTAAATTTTTTAAATTTTTTTATTATTTTTTTTTTTTGGTGGGTATTTTGTGTGTGTGTTAGCCATTTTCAATGGCAAAATGCCCATTCTGCCCTGTAAAGTATCCTACAAGCATCTCAAATTGGCAATTTGGGGATGTTCATTGGTTCATCGAACACAACAGTCGTGACGAAATCATGCATATTCAACAAATGATCCTTCAAAAAAATTGATCCGCGTAACAGTCCATGTTTATTTTTAAGAATACAACTTCTGTCAGTAAAATACAACTTTTGGGATTAAAGAATACAGTTTTTGAACTCCAGAGGTTGGCAGGTCTGTACTCATGCTGTTGAATTCTAGTGCTGAAAAAAGTGTAATAAACATTGGGCTCAGTGTAGATTGCCTGGAGAGAAAAAAGCCTGTGATACCAACAAAATTGTCAGTAGCGTGTATGATCGTAATGTGATATCATTCATTCTGACCATGCTGATATGTGATTGAAATATGCATGTAATTTGTTGTATTGCTAAATTCATACCATACAGCATCATAAGCATGTTTATCTATCTCTCTTTTTTGTTGTTGCTCTCTATCACTCTATGATATCTTTTTCTCTGTGTCATCTGTCTGCATGGGTTCTTTCTCCATCTCCCTCTTTCTTCTCCCTTCTTTCTCTTTCCTTCTCCTTTTACCTCTCATTTTCATCTTCCTTCATGTCTTCTCTGCACGTTATCCCTGTACACCCCCCCCCCTTCTCTCTCTTTCTCTCTCTCTTTCTCTCTCTCTTGTCTTTGTTCTTTCTAACCACTCTTTTCTTCTCTCTCCATGTCATCTCTGCATTTTTTCTCTCGCCATCACTCACTTTCTCTATCTCCCTCAATCCTTCTTTCATCCTCTCTTTCCATCACCCTCTCTCCATCTCTCTCTCTCCTTCTCTCTCTCTCTTGTCTTTGTTCTTTCTAATCACTCTTTCCTTCTCTCTATCTCCTCCATGTCATCTCTACATTTTTTCTGTTGCCATCACTCACTTTCTCTATCTCCCTCAATCCTTCTTTCATCCTTTCTTTCCATCTCCCTCTCTCCATCTCCCCCTCTCTCTCTCCCCCCCCCCCCCCTCTCTCTCTCTCTCTCTCTCTCTCTCTCTCCTCTCTCTCTCTCTCCCCCTCTCTCTCTCTCTCTCCTCTCTCTTTCTCTCTCTCTTGTCTTCGTTCTTTCTAATCACTCTTTCTTTCTCTCTATCTCCTCCATGTAATCTCTACATTTTTTCTTTCGCCATCTCTCTCTCTTTCTCTCTCTCCTCTCTCTCTCTCTCTCTCCTCTCTCTCTCCTCTCTCCTCTCTCTCCTCTCTCTCTCTCTCTCTCTCTCTCTCTCTCCTCTCTCTCTCTCTCTCTTCTCTCCTCTATCTCTCTATCTCTCTCCTCTCTCTCCTTCCCTCTCTCCTCTCTCTCCTCTCTCTCTCTCTCTTTCTCTCTCTCTCTCTCAGGTATCTATGTGGAAGGCGTGTCCGATGTGAGCTGTCCAATGGAAAGTCCAGACGACCCAGAGGCCGAGATATGGAAGCCAGGCCTCGGTCAGGAGGCGGCGGAGGTTCCTATGGTCGCTATGGCCGATCAAGGTAAGACCTCTCTATGCAGAGTTTGTTCAACCCCGGCTTCGCTAGTCGATCCAATATCTACCTCATTACACACTCGAGACATAAATAATAAAAACGTTACTTATAAAGCCTCTTTAATGTTACTACTTTTAAAAAAGAATTTTACTTTCATTATTCTGAAGGTTTATGATTCTGTAGGACCTTACAGCCAGGTATGTCCAAAAGCTCATGGGCAAAACTTAGGCATAATTCTCAAAATGAGATATTGTTTGTAATTTCTAACCTTTAAAGAGAAGGTTGATTTCTGAGGAGAGGTGAACATTACTTTGTGAGCCCTTTCAAATGCAAGTGTGAAAGAACATCAGAGAACAAAATGTACCCTGAAAAGCATGGCTCTTCAAATGCCTTTATATTCTAAATATGACATGTAACAGCCCCATATACGTCTTTCTGTGTACAGTGCGTGTTACTTTTACCAAGACTGGCCCAAATTCTTCATCATTTTGATGATTCAAGAACCTTGCAATACACACCAATACTCATATCCTACATTCTGATCAATTCCACACTGTTTCTTTCACAATGCAATCGCATGATGCGAGCTCAACTTTATCTTTATAGGGTTTCTTAATTCTTATTCTAGAAATCAAATAGGGTTCTTATCCACGTCTAGTACATGTATGTAATTTTGGGAAACAAATATGATTTGGAATCCTGTGAATGTCAAGAGTTTTGAATTCTGAAATTGAGATATTTTAATGCTCAAGGTCATTTTTTTTCTTTCTTAAAACAGTTTTGACAAAGAAATATCCACCATACTTTGACATGTGAACCCCATTTCCTTTTATCAAATAACAAACCCAGTTATTTTTTGTCATCATGACCCTTTGTAAAAAATTGAACCTTTATAATAATGGATCTCCGGAATGCTGAGCATCCCTTGACCATTTTGGTGCAATTTTTGTTAGGGCTACAATATTACACCATATCACAGACACTGATAACTAGTAGGGCTATGCATCTCAGATTTAACATTGCTAAACGATGCCTTTCAGAATCAAGATCCCTGCCATTTTTGTTTTTTTCCTGAATCATAATCAACTCACTTTGTTTTATTCTAGTGATTCTTATTTCCTTCTCTCTTTTAATTAATTGGTCTATTTTTTTACTGGGGGGGGGGGGGGCATTGGGTAATCAAGATCCCTGCCATTTTTGTTTTTTTCCTGAATCATAATCAACTCACTTTGTTTTATTCTAGTGATTTTTATTTCCTTCTCTCTTTTAATTAATTGGTCTATTTTTTTTTACTGGGGGGGGGGGGGGGGCATTGCGTAGTTTAGGGTGTGCTGTTTTTCCATTTTGACCTTTGGTCCGAATTCTAGCTTTTTGGGGGCAAATGGTCTACGCGTAAGGTGAAATTCTTCTGTCTCACAGCTGTCAATAATTGCTGCTTACATGTACATGTTTCATGATGTATGGATATGAAATTGTGCCATGTACAGCTTCATTTCTAAGGCCCAGCGCACACTACGCAATCTTACTGGGATCCGATTTCTCAAGGGCATTTTATATGAACATTCAAACACGTAAAATATTATTGATCGAGGATCTGATTAGTCATGTAAATAATGACATCAAAATTTTAGTGGATTGCAAGATTCCTTGAAAGAGGAATCGGTAAATTGGCTCAGAATTGTACTGACGTCAGATCAGAAGTACATGTATGGTTGTCTACGATTTCAAGCTCATTCTGCGCTTTATTCTGACTAAAAAGCTTTAAAGATAAAGACCAGTATTGGAAACGCCCAAATTTCAAAAAATGAAATGAAATGGCAACTCTTATTACCAATCATGTGAAAGAATATGTTTTGACTAATACATGATGATAAAAATTTTGCCGGGAAACAGCCTATTAATTGATATATTTGGTAAATTAGTTTATCTATTGGACTGTGAGAGATAAACGCATGTGTCGCGCACGTGTGCGTAGTCCCATATACATCTTTCTGTGTACAGTGCTTGTAACTTTACGAAGACCGGGCCAAATTTCTTATCATTTTGATGATTCCAGAACCTTGCAGTACACACTAATACTTATATGCTAGATGATGAACCTTTTCTGATCGATTCCACAACGTTTCTTTCACAATGCGATCGCATGACCGTAACTGGTCTTGATCTTTAACGCTCTAATATTCTAGGTAGTTTTCTTATCATTATGTACAACCTACATCCACAAAATATTCTTTATTTAGATTTCCATAAATATTATAATTGGCATTTCTTCACAAACCAGATTGGGCAGTGTGTTATTAAAGTCAACAATGGTTGGCAAATATGTCACCCACAGAGTGGGCAGACAGTCGGCAAACAATTGTAAAGGGGAATCTGGGCAGCGTCTGCGTAGCACTGATGCTTTGTTGTTTACAAAAGTACTTTCAGCCTTCAGAAAATTGATTGATTTTATTTTTTTTCATAAACTCAGAGTAAAGAAGAAAAGACTGGTAGTAGAGACAATGTTTATTTCAAAAACAAATTGTACATGTTATGGTACAGTAATTGCATTTAAAATTTAAGGTAGAGGCCATTTCAAATCGAGATTAAATTTGTATTTTCTTTGAATTAAGGATAGGGGTCTAAATATCAAACAAGGCCAAGTTGTACATTTTTTTTTGGAATAAATCAATTCTACATTTTCAGCTGAGCAAATATTCAGGTCCTAAATTTCAGAAAGTAAATTGATAGTTGTAGTATCTCTTGTAAATATACCAAATATTGTTTTTTTTAATGTTGTGAGTGTTACACGCCTACATATAACATTCATGTTATTCATGAAAGGAAGTTTCTTCTGGCTAATCGGTCTGGCTATTTCTTAAAATTTGCACCTCTGATTTTTTGTTCTTTTATTGAAAGTTATGAATAGTTTTATCATTTAAATTCATGTGTGTGATTTTCTGAAAAGAGAAAATGTCAACAAAAACTGCAGACTTCTTTCTTCTTTTCTTTTAAAAAAAATCCAATATACACTGTATAAGGAAAAACCTTGACTCTTATGTCAACAAGTTGCCAACTTGTGGATTTGTATGCTTACCCTCCTTTAAAGTTTCTGGCATCAAATGCCACATGGCAAAGAACACAGTACATGTACATGTACAGCAGCTCTAGAACAGCATGTGTACATTTGTGAAACCAGAAAATTACTTGAAATAACACTTTTGCCATTTGTAAACAATTTTTTAAGCAACAATTTTTCTCCTTCCTGGAATTGCACAAATTTAGTGTAATGTCAATTCTGATTCCGTTATTTTGTTGCTTGAAACTTTTGTGAATTAGATGTTTCATAAAAGTTGTTATCAATAACAAATGATAAATTTATATGACAAATTTGCTCTCAGCCAATCAGATGACGTGATTTCAGTACCTTATAACAGTTAATGTAACTGGTTATTGATATCAGGTGTTATGAAACAGGGCTCAGAGCCTCTTGTGAAAGTCACAAATGTTTCATTCATGCGAAGTTTCTGGTTTTACAGTATCAAGCCCAATTGCACAAAGATGACATTAATTTGTCTTAAATCAACTGATTGATTATTCAATGTATCAAGTAAACGCAACAAGCAAGTGGGAATCTTAACTTTAATCAGAGTTTCTTAGTCCCCTTAGTCTTTGATTGTCTTCATGATGCTGTTTTTGCTGCCACTTGTTTCAGGCTTTGTCTCCTCAACACCACCATCATCCTCAACCTACCTCATCACCACCTCTACGAATCATCGATCACATGATCACATCCGCCCAATCAGCCCCCTGGGTTTCTTCTTCCTGAAGGTTATCAACACATCCAAAACAACTACAACAACTACAGCACCTCCCTCCCGTCCGCGCCCACACCCCCTCCTCTTTACTATCCGAAAACAAAAACAACTTAAAATCTTGTTATAAAAGCATCCTTTTAAAGCCTGTCTGCACTAGTTTGGCCAGGTGTTATTAGACCTCCCTGCAAGGTCACTGACAGGTGGTTATCTCATCAAATCAGCTCTCAATTAACATGAGAAAAAGGGGATCATGGGGGACCAACAGGTACCGATTAGGCATTGTTTGCTATATAGAGGGCGCAAGTAGCTTTAAGTAGTGCAGTGGGGCATTCAGGACATTTTTGGTAGATTTAAAACTGAAATTGAGAGATAAAGCTCTTGTGCTACTAACTAGCACCTTTGATATCCTACAACACCCTCATCAGCCAATCAGGATAAAGATTCAGCCAAGTGTTAGCCAATCAGCTTTCAAAGTACAGCCTAACCAAGCCAGCTAGTCCACCACCACCCGACCTCTCTCAACTCTTATTCATCCCGGCCCAAACAACATCAACCAGCCCAAACAACAACAACAACTACTACATCTGGCCCTCAAATCAACCAACCAGCCTAACAACTGGCCCCTAATCATCTAGCCTAAACAGCTGGCTCAACTTCTTCTCCATCCATCCAACTTCTGGGCTTCCTAAACAAAAGGTTCCACTGCCTCTGGCGGTTTTTATTGTCAACTTTATTTTGTTTATTTACTCTTCCGCTTTGAGGGAGAAAAAACGATGTTGGAACTCTCCCCTTCTGGAAGAAATCCAATCATATTGTTGCACCGACTATATGAATTTTGCATGCTGTTTGAGAGAGAGAAAGAGAGGGGAGTGAAAAGTCTAGTTTGCATTATTTTGTATGCGATTATAACAAAAGGTAGGCCTATATATTGAAGTTTCACATAATTATAATCGAAAGAAGACCATTGTTTTTCATAGAAATATGAACTGACAAAGCTCTGGAGCCATGTCAGAAAGTTATTTTGTTGAGTTCCACTTCTGGTTCTACTTGTACGTTTATTGAAAGCAAAACAAAATAAAAAACAAATTACGATCCCAATATGGATTATAAACCTACGTGTATGCTTCATCCTAAAGCTTGATTATTAATTTTGAAGTGACTACTCCCTTTTTTAAGGTAGGATTACTAATTTACAATATATGTAAATGTCAGTTGTGACAAATTTCTTTAATGAACTGGACACACAACACATAATTGAAGAATGCAAGACTTAAAGAAGAGAAGGAAAGAGTTTATTTTGAATGTCTTTCATGCTAACATTTGCCATTTTCTTTTCAGCAAACACAGCCGTAGCAGGAGTCGAAGCAGGTAAGAAAACACTAGATTTTACGACCGTAGAAGTGAAGGTTGTTTTGTAGTGTATTAAAGCAAATTGTAAGAAGTCACAGTGATTGTTTAAAAATAATAATTATCATGTAATCTTCATAAAATTATTGATGGTAAACGAAATATAAAAGTCTTGGTAAAACCCAAACCCTGAAAATCTCCAACACAGTGATGTACACACAGGATAATAAGGACTTTTAGATTTGCACGAAGACAATGTAGATTGCTACGATCGACGTCCTTTTAATGCACTGCCTTGAATGGACGTCACAGGTATCAGTCCACGCAAATTTAAAAGTCCCTATCAATGAAACTTAGCGAGTGTTTAAAATATATCCTTCAGATATCGTGTGTGTAATTTTACAGTCGGTGATTCTGAGACTTCTGTTTAAGAAATGAAAATCTAGCGTTGTTTTCATATTGATGAGATTGAAATTCACATGGACGGGGTGATCCCATATTTCAAACAATCTTAGCCATCTCTTCATTGGTCCGAATTGTTCAAAACTTTTTCTCTTTTGTGTATCTTATTTGTCTGCTTTTTACTTATCACAAGAGTTTGAAACATTGGCACAGCTAATATCAAATCACCCTCTATTTTTGTAGAACTTATTCAGAATGCGTTCTTACAAGTTTGATTCAATGCATTTCATAACGAGGCCTCTACTTCCACTTGTGTCAGATGAATGCACCCATTGATAAAGAAATCAGTGTCAGGTATATGCATAAAAAATTACATTAGCATGGCAGCGTTTGGAAAGTAATAGTTTAATCATTTATATTTTTGTAACACTGAATAATTTGTATGTAGTACTTATATCTATTTTTACCCTTTCGTTTGCAGATCACCTAGACGCTACCGCTCACGCAGCAGATCACCACGCCGCCGATCGCCTGTTTATAAAAGGTAATAGCTCCTTCTATCTTAAATTGTAGTTCCCCTTTTCCCCCTTCTTAAAAGCAGAAATGTCACGGAAATATATGGATAATTCAAATGTTAAATTTTCATTTACTATGCCAAGTGATAAGTTTATGGATGTTTTATAATTGAGATCATGAAATAAATAATGATTTCAGCTTGGCTAAACGAAATTGTTTATGTAACTTAAGGACAACTTCCCCCATTGTCTATATTCTGATATTAAGTAAATTTCTGGAATTGAGGTGAATACATAGATTTGTTGATACATGATTAGGAAGGAAGGATAAAGTTAATGTGTGTTCAATTATATTTTGTTTCAAGAGAAGGAACTTTAACAAGTGTCTCATCCAAATATATTATGTGCTCAATGATCAGTGTATATTCAATTAAACGAATTCCCTTTCTTTGCAAGTTGAGCTCAGTTAATTGAAATATTACTGAACCATCACATTCCATATGTTCTGCCATTTGTTTAAGTCTTACAAAACATATATTTAATAAATACAGAAATTAGTTTAACAACATTTCCTCTTCTTTCTTTGATGTTACCAGAAGTAAATCCCATTCCCGCCTCCGCTCTCGATCCAAGAGTCCCCGCCCACACTCTCGATCCAGGAGTCCCCGCCCCCGCTCTCGATCCAGGAGTCCCCGCCCACGCTCTCGATCCAGGAGTCCCCGCCCCCGCTCTCGATCCAGGAGTCCCCGCCCACGTTCTCGATCGAGGAGTCCCCGCCCCCGCTCTCGATCCAGGAGTCCTCGCTCTCGATCCAGGAGTCCACGCCCCCGCTCGCGGTCCAGGAGTCCCCGCTATGAGAAGTCACACTCCCGTTCGCGTTCCCACTCCCGGACTCCCTCAGAAAGCAAGGATCGCCACTCACACAACGGAGATGCCTCTCCGGTGCATAAGCAAGAGGTCGACGGCGGAGACTAGATCACTAAGTTTGGCTTTGATAACACAGGAGGGCGTATGCCAAGTTATAAGCTATGAAATCATCGGCTAAAGGGTAGAAGGACTTTAAAGATGTCGTAAATAATGGATTTTATGTCCTTACGGCTATGACAAGAGAAATGGATCCATACAATACAAGTGCATTTTGAAACATCAACTCTTTTGCTTGATGGCGCTGTTACCCAAGTTCTATATTCTCTTAGTGCTGCATTTCAGTTTTTATTCCAGGGGGGTGTTTCACAAAGATCCTAAGTTGGACTTCAAAATTATGGAAAGCCATTAGCATCATTGAAATATTTTGTAAACATTATTTACAAGGCATAACATGTTGATTCTAATCATTCATATTTTCTATTATAACAGAGATTTTATGTTCTTGATGGGGAATTTATGAAAAATCTAAACTATTTGAATTTTTGCTTTTGAATATATTTTGTTTAAGGCTACGAATGGCTCTCCATAATATTTAAGTCCAACTTCGAGTTAAGTTCTACTTAGGATCTTTGTGAAACACCCCCCTGGAATTGTTCCACCAGCAAACTGGCAACATGTTACCCCTCGGAATGCGCTAACATCCGATATGTTGAGATGTAGATTCCAATAGTAATAGAAAATGAACTCTATCTATTGCTTGGGATTTTGGAGGTTTCTTTGCCCCCAAAATAAGCTCACTTTTCAGTTATGAGTAATTCTAAATGGAAAAACGTATTGGAAATCACTGGATTTTTTCTTTTCTTATTGATTCTAAGTTAATATAGAGTTAAGTTATTCTGTCTTTATCTTGTTTAGGATAATTATGCAGCATGTAATGTCCTGCTTCATATGATGTAAAGGCTTTTATTCAATTTTCAAACTGGTGAGGTAACCATCAAAGTTTTTGTGATGATTGGATTAATTTGTGCCTCGTTAGGATTTTTATACCTCCGCTCACCAAAATTGCTGATAGAGGCATTACATTGTAATGCTGCCAAGCTACAAGGAAATTTGAAAAGACAGAAAAAGACAAAGACAAAACCAAATGCAAAAACCACTACATAGTTGCATTTGAGATACTCTCTCCAATTCTGTGGAACATGGATTTGTTGCACTGCATGTTGTGTCTTACAGTACATGTATATTGTGGTGAATTTAAAGAGAAGTTCGAGTTATGGGAAAGGTGAAAATTATTTGTGAGCTTTTTCATTTTGTTAATGATAAAGCGGAAGAGTATTATACTTATAGAAGAAGAAGAAAAAATCCCCTGAATAGGATTGCCCTTCAAATACCTTCGTATTTGAAATAAGACAACTGACAGCTAAAAGTTGTGGACCACACTCTCGTGCTACATGTTTGTGTAGTACATGTACCATATATGCATTTCTGCATACAGTTGTACTAAGAGGTTTTCCTTGATTCATATGACTTTTAGCAGCACTGGGCCAGTTCTGGGCCAGCAAGGTCACTGTGACAGGTGGCTATCTCATTAACTCAGCTCTCATTTAACATAAGAAAAAGGGGATCATGGGGGACCAACAGGCACCGATTGGGGAAGTTTTCTATATAGAGGGAGCAAGCAGTTACAAGTAGGACAGTGTCCCTTTAAACCCCATTTCTCTGTGTGGCTAAGTCTTGTTGCTGCAAACTGTGAATATTGTAAATGTTTTTAAAATGTATTCTTACTCTTATTCCAAAAATAATTGTGTGGTCCTTTAAGAAATCCGACCTTTTGGCCAAATAAGAACAATATATTGCACAATGTACATGTGCACTTATTTTATTTGACTTTCTTTGAAAAGGATTTGTGAGCACACATAACTGTTGAAGGATAAGAACGAGGAGTTCCATGTAAAGTCCAATCTAAGAAAAGCTTCTTTTTAGCTTTTTAAAAATAAATAATTGAATTATTCTGCATTTAATTTAGAATAACAATTTCCCAATTGTCGTGGATCATGAATGAAATATGACCATTTTTGTTCTTAGCCTCTGGAGAGTTTAGCTCTACATTCCCAGGTGCCTGTGCATTTTATGTTGAAAACCAAAGAAATTTTTACGAGATTCAAAAGACGGCTGATGCAAGCATCAAGAGAATGTCCAAAAAAAGCCGACCAAATTTCTCAATATTATTAGGAGTGGAGCATATTATTATCTGCCCTTGAGAATTTTGTTTAGCTACAAGGTTTACTAACTTATCTTTTACTTATTTTTAGTAAAAACCTATAATTATTGGAGTATGCATTTTGCTTAATTGTGACTCAAATCTGCTTTCCTACCATTCCTGCTGTTTTTAATCTATATTTGCATGTGCACATTTCCAAAACTTACATCTTACTTTTGATTTTGAACGCCGGATAACAGTAATATGCAATTTCATAATTTGAGCAAAACAAGGTTTGAATATTGCGCATAATTATTTGCTATTGATGGAGAAACTTGTATTTCTTATTTAATATGTATGTGTCTTATTGTTTTGCATGATTATCAGTATTTGTATTTTTCTTCAGAGCGCACGATTTTGTTAACTCGGTCGAAACGAACAAAGTACTGTATAGATGAAGATGAGTATTATTGCCGTTGGATACTCTATATGATGTAGGCTCAAAGAACAAACCTGTAAACACTATGAACATGACGGACAAAGAAAGCAGACAAAATATACAGTTCCTCAGGTAGACAAAGGAACATCCCTTGACCGCTATTATGTAAAAATGTGTAGAACAGGTGAATATGCATGTGAAACCTGTTCTACACATTTTTACATAATAGCAGTCAAGGTATGTTCCTTTGTCTACCCGAGGAACTGTATATTTTGTCCGCTTTCTTTGTCCGTCATGTTCATAGTGAAACTTCTTTTTGCATATAAGATGCGACACGGTAAACCACCATAAGCCAAACTTAAAAATCTGCTGTAGTTTAATGTTTACATTTATTTGAAAGACAACTGCAAGCACGCATTCACTGAGTTCTGTGTAAATGTTAGCTTTGCATGAACATCATCTTTAAAAAAAACATACTGTTTTGCATGTCATATCTGAGCGAGGCTTCAATGTATATATTGTTCATCTATAGTCTCTCATTTGGTAAAACTCTGCCGCATTAAATCAACTTTCAAAATGGTGGCCATTTCAAACATCGCCTTTTCTTCTCCTTCAAATTAGTGACTGTTCCTGAAAGAGTCTTGTAACACGTTGTTTGCTGTGCTTCTTTCAAAATTATTTGTCATAGGTTGTGTAAGTAAAATCCTGTTAACTGGAACCTTTGCTTGAAATTAACTTCTGCTTTTGGCAATAGTACACTTTACATGAATTAACTTATGGTAAATATAGTGTCATGTCTGTAAAATAGCTGTTTACGGTACTTGGTTTATCTATTAATTGTGTTGTAAGCTACACATGTATTTCTTTAGCTAATTTATCTAATAATACTTTTATTTTAAATTCTTGTAATTAGGAATATGTACTTATTATTCTAATGTTTTTATTTCTATAAGTGTTCTTCATTGTGAAGTTCACTTTATATGTTAAAATTGCTTTTTTCTTTGTCACATTTTATTGGGTATATGGTTACATTTTCTGTAAAGTAGTGAATCATTTTTTAAATCAATTTCAGTCCATCACAAAAAATGTTTAAAAATAATCTCTGTATCATTTGATAAAATAAGCTTAGCACTCATTGTACCCTGATTATGAACTTATAAATATGTTTGTAAATTTGTGTATTTATACACTGTATTGGCACTTGTTATAACACTTGACCCTGTTACACTGGTAGACTGGTTTTGGTGTTAATTTACACCCTACATAGATGCATGTTAAGTATCACCATGATCGTAATATCAAAACATGTATGCAGTTAACACTGGTTTTAACACCAGATTCTGTACTAGTTCATTAGCCATACTTCTTCGACATTCTATTGAAAAATGTATTATAGAATTAACTTGTGTTTCTATAGGATGTCCATGAACATACACTAATGATGTTTTCGAGAAACAGGCTCCTGGTAGACAATGGATTCGGTGTTAGTTGACACCATGCTTAAATGGATGTTCAGTATCACATAAAAGTATGTCATAGTATCAGTACATGCATACAGTTAGCACCAGTCTCAACACCAGACACTGAAAAAGTACACTGGTGAACTCTTTGTTTTGGTGTCGCTAAGTAGAAATAACTTGACAATCATACTTAGACACAAAGAAATTGAAAGCCAAGAAATAAGTGTAGTGTAACATTTGGTGTTAAAAAATCCTGTCATATCACAAATGAGAAGCTTAGCACCTTACTCTGCAGAAAAACACTCACATTGAAACTAGTGTACACGTATAGTCACCTAATTATGAGTTAATTCATGCTCTCCTTATTTTTAAAAGTATTTTTGTGACTGTTTTTGCAATAGTGGAGGAACTGAACTTTGTGGAATAAAATATTTTACACGCAAGGATTTTGATATGATCTTCTTTTATTGTGTGTTTTTGTTTCGTTGAAACAGACCTGTGTATTGATATTTTCAATGTTATTGTAATTGTATTGTCTGTTTGGTAAACAGATAGATAGAAATGGTTTATTAAAAAGATCATCGCAGCTAACGGCTGAATCGCGTTCCATTTCACAAAGATACAATACAATTGCAAGAAAGGGAGAGTTAGAGTGACGAGACAGAGAGAGAGAGAAAGCGAGAAAGAGAGAGAGAGAGAGAGAGAGAGAGAGAAGGGGGACGAAAGGGAGATGCAGAGAGAGAGCGATGAAGCGGTAAAGTTTTGAAAAGGACGTTAACTCATATACTTTAACACAAGCTTTAACATCCTTATGGCTTTGAAAAGATTATAGTTTGTAAACTACTCGGGTGACATATTGTATTGTACATATCTCTGTATGGACAGAACCCAACTCTTTGTAGCTATGTTTGGTAAGCCTTTGACAAATCTCTCTTTTTAATTTAAAATTTAAAATTTCTTTTTCTTAACAGTGTTTGTTGAAGTATTAATGAACTACAAATAACCTCATAAGCTGATTGATTGGATATGATTTAGAAAACACAAAATGATACAGCTAAACTCGATTCATCAATTGTAATTACTCTGAACTTTTATTTTTTCATCTATTGAGCATTGCACAACAAACCAAACATATTACATCACAATTTATCACATAACTTGATTAACCAATTAACAGTGGTGCTTCGTCATAAAGAAAACAGTTAGAGGTGTCATGGTCGAGTGGTTTGAGCACTCTACTTGAATTAGGTCTTGGGTTCGGTCCCGTAAACGGCAATATTGTCTTTTGTCGAGGCATTAATCTACTGTGACCTTGTAAGATGACGAAAGCCTTTGTGATACTAATGGCCGAATGCCCTCACAGTGACATTATGGTAGGAATATTCCCCAGGGAGTGAAGATCGTGCACACTGTGGACTTAGAGACTATATAAATCCATTTTATTATTGGGGTTATTATTATTTTCATAAATACTATTTTTATTATTATTATTATTATCATTTTATAATTATCATTTAGTGCTGACAAGGTGTCAATATCAATGTTAGTTTCCTGAAAGGGAGGTTCTACTGTATATAACAGTTGACAGTATAATCACGATCCATTCCTTATTTCATTTAATATAGATCAATAGAGGATATAATATATATATTATTTAGTATAAATTACATAAAGTTTTATGCGTGACTTTTACACAGCAGCATTTTATGAAGTTGACCCTCCCGACCCCCCCCCCCCCTCTCTCTCTCTCTCTCTCTCTCTCTCTCTCTCTCTCTCTCTCTCTCTCTCTCTCTCGCACCCTCTCTCCCCCTCTCTCTCTCTCTCTCTCTCTCTCTCTCTCTCTCTCTCTCTCTCGCTCTCCCTCCCTCTTTCTATCGTTACCCCTCTCCCTTCCATCGAGCCAACTCTAAATCTCGGCTCATACATGTTTACATAATTATGATTCAGTACAAAGGAATATGTTTTTGAAATGCTAGACGTTTGCCAATTTAGTTGACGTTTGTGTTGATTTTTACGTCTTATGTTTGATAGAATCTTGAAGGGTGAGCTCTTGTAAGAAGGGGAAGTGAAGGATGACATGCGCCCTCTCTCGATCCCCCATCTTCTTTGTAACAAGTGCAACAAGGCGAACAAATACCACGATCGCAAGCACTTAGGAAAAAAAAAATCCACTTTATGCAATTTCAAAAGCCTGTTGAAATGCTAAAAATTTACACTAACATTAAAGGTAAAGACCAGTATTGGAAACGCCCCAATTTCAAAAAATGAAATGGAAGCTCTCATTACCAATCATGTGAAAGAATATGTTTTGACTAATACATGATGATACAAAATTTGCCGGGAAACCACCTACTAATTCATATATTTGGTAAATTTGTTTCTCTCTTGGTCTGTGAGAGATATAGGGTAGTCCCATATACATCTTTCTGTGTATAGTGCTTGTAACTTTACAAAGAATGGGCCAAATTTCTTATCATTTTGATGATTCCAGAACCTTGCAGATGCTAGATGCTAGATGATCAACCTTTTCTGATCGATTCCACAACGTTTCTTTCACAATGCAATCCCATGACCATAACTGGTCTTTACCTTTAATCTGAGATACATGGCCCTATACGTGTCATCAGTGTCTGTGATGAGGTGTATATTGAAGCCCTACACAAATTAATGCGCTTCAAAATGATCAGAAAGTGCCTCAAAAAAGTAAAAATCTTTGTGTGACCGGTTTTACAATACTCATTATTCCCGATAGACTGTAGCGTTATAAAAACCGTTAGGAAAACGAAAAATGACATTTCGATTTCCAATCATAAATATCTTGATAGTCACACAGACGATCGGTTCGTTAAAGTCATGGGATTCCTGACTGACCTATAATTAAGGGTTATAAAATACTGATTGCAGCATGAGCTAATTTTGTTTCAGAATCTGAGGCAATATGTTACCGAGTCACTTTAACGTAAACCGAATATGACTTCTATTTGGGGCTACAATTTTTCGAGAATGTTTGCGATCGGGTTTAATACAAATCTATAGTGAGGTTCCATGGAAACGGCTTCTGTCTATTCATCATGAGACTAATATTCACATCCACAATGTACTCCATAATTGTACTCTCCAACTCTTGGCTATAAGGGCTCTCGGTCGTGTAGAACCTTTGATGGTGCCATTTGTTAATTCTCTCCTCCGCCGTCAGCAGGGGCGGGTACTGCGAGAGAGCGCACTCCATTCTATCTAACCGAACCGGAACGTTGAGATACCGGACCATTTTTTCGAGAGTTTGATTCGGGCTCGAGATCAGATCCGAATAGTGTATGACGTAGGTGTTCCTGGCAAGCTCGAGCCACCTGAGGGCGATGTTTCTCCAGCGCAAACTTTCCTTTTGGACAAACGTCCGCCATCCTGTTTTGGAACACAAAATGAAACATAAAAATATTAAGAATGCTATTGACTGATAGTCTTAAAGTTCGATATTCTGTTATTGTTCCGAAATTGAATTCGTTTTCAAGATAATGCTTCAGTTGATACCATGTTTTGCTGAATGCTAATAAATGATATTTGATTGTCATAAAAAATGAATTTTTTCTGACAATATCACTTCCTTATGGGTAGGTTGGTGGAAGGTGCAGTGCATTGCATAAAATCTGTCAGTCATAAAAGTAAAGGCAACGCCTGATGATCGATAATAATTATACAAATGGTAAAACCTAATGCACGCACACGTGATCCATATCGACGCTTCTCATTGGCTACATTCTTGAGCCAATTTTTATAATAAAGAGATATCGACTTCCATGAGAGGCCTGGCTGTTTTACAGGTTCAAGGGGACGTGCACATCCTGCCATGACCCCGAGGCCAGGCCTTGAATATTAAAGCAGTCGATATGTCTTTTATATACCGAATTGACACAAAAATTTACCAAGAATTCTTACCTTATCCATTTCTTGTGTAAAAATTGGTTAGAACATCACATAAATCTGAGACACTGTCTGTTAATCTTCGATGGAAAGATGACTGAATGTTACAATCATTTGGGAATTGCAGACAAAAGCACTGCATGGTATCCGCGCTCGCACAAAGTCAACTTTAAAACGTAAACCAATGGGGATCGCAGCAAAATTGAACTATTTTCATGGTACCCGGAATTTTGCGGAAATCTCACTCATGAACTATTGACCATTATTGGCATTGTTCTTTTCTTTACAGGAACACCTAAAATCACGACTCCAATTTCGACCAATCAGATGACTAATTCATAAGGAGAGGTACACTGTATATAAATGATAATATTCAAGGCCTGGCCTCGGTGTCATGGCAGGATGTGCACGTCCCCTTGAGCCTATAAAAAAGCCAGGCCTCTTACGGCAGTCGATATCTCTATATTATCAGGTGAATACCCTTATCGTGTGTCATAACATTTCATTAAAAAAACATGATCGGGTGGTTTTAATTTTGCAGAAATTGTGAATCATATCATTTTGACTAAATTATAGTAACATAGAATGATAGTAACAAAGTCAAGAGTTGTCTTACTGTGGCTCTTCAATGTAATATCCCTTTCCCCTTCGGTCATTGTCGGTTTCAGGAGGTGCTGTCGGTAGGCTTCGGAAATGATCGACTGGAACGGGTGACGTAGTATCAAAATGGCGGCTTCGAATTCCCGGATGTGCCTCGGATCGTATCGGTACGTCTTGACACAGATCACTCGTCCTGACCTGTAATCTACTTTATTTCCAGGGAAATCTGTATATAACAAGTTAAAACCAATAAATAAAAGAATGTCACACAATGATTAAGTGGTAGAACAGTGGTCTCGTAACCATGAGGACTCCGGTTCGATACCTTACCCTTTGGTAAGGTATTTTAATCGTCATTTAGTTCCTTTGAGATGACTTAAAGGGGGTGTAGAATGACTAAACTATGTGTCTTTCTGATGGCCTGATTCAGGGCCAATCGGTCCGACCATACGGACGACGCGACTGCAGTATTCACGTGTGTGCAACATACCCGAACCGAAGCATCGGGAGAACGGGTCTGTTTCGCGAATGCTAGCGCGCGCTGCCCGTTAATGAAGTCCATTCGTTTACGCGCAGTTGCCATGCTACACCCCATTTAAGCCCGGCGATTCCCTGACTGCTAACTTGCACATGCACATGCTTTCTTAGCAGTCCGGTTAAAACAATTAACCTACCAAACGAATAAAACCGATCGATATACAATCAATATTCAATACACCCTTTTAATAGTTGGATTTAAAAAACAAATGATTTTGATCTATTATTTTATTTGCCTTTAAAGTGATGGCCGTGCGAGATATAGGTATCTCAAATAAACTCCAAATGTAAACAAATAATATAAAATAATCAAAATAATAATATATAATCATTTATTCAATCATTCATTCATTTTTTAATTTTTTATTTACATTTAAGTGCTTTTGTGTTTTTCTTCTCTGCATCATGAACAGTGCCTGTATAGATCCCCGCGGCTTTCTCGATTAGATGTCTCGTCCAAGCATTGCCGGACTGAGGATAGCTGGCTAGAGCTACGGTGGTTAGAGACTGGAAGGGGCGTAGAATAATCTTGTCGCATGCTGAAAGCCAAGAGAGAGAAAACAAAGGAGGAGATGAAACGAATTCACTATGAACATGACGGACAAAGAAAGCGGGCAAAATGCAGTTCCTCAGGTAGATAGAGGAACATCCCTTCACTGCTCTTATGTAAAAATGTGTAGAACAGGTGAATATGCATATTCACCTGTTCTACACATTTTTACAAAATTTACCTGAGAAACTGTATATTTTGCCCGCTTTCTTTGTCCGTCATGTTCATAGTGGAATGTATTCATGGTATTAGATATCGAGAAATTCATAATTTGGTCGTAATTACATTATCACGTGATCGCAAAGACATTCTGAGAAGTAACTTATGGCAAAGTCAATAGCAATGTCCATAGCGTATTAAAAAGAGATAGTTGGGACTCAAGCTTCCACACGTACACGCGAGATGGTCATAGGTTAATCATGGTACTCCAAGTTGTTCCCTCCCTCGTACAAACTCTATGGCCCGAATTTACAAAGGAGGTTTGTCGACAAACCTCCTTTTGTTTCGACAAACCTCCTTTTGTTTCTTACAAACCAAGGTTTGTAAAAACGCGTCGAAACGCGTCTTATGACGCACGAAAACCAAGGTTTGTCGACAAACCTCCTTTGTGAATTCGGGCCTATGAGAGGCTTCATGAAATACCTGACCAATGATACCAACTTTCCGGTGACGTAACTATCTCTCTCTGGTAGCTATATGTCCTTATACGTCCATTACCCTTTTCGAATTGTGCGAACATTGCAATGGCAAAGTGCACATATCCGAATATAATTTTGATTGACAATAGGGTAAGTGATCTAGAGTGGATCTCTAGTAAATCTTTTCGATCGTGTTATTAGTCCAGAATCCGGCCTATTTGATTTTGATCTCCACCACACCAACGCTACCTCTCCCTTGCTACCAGCCGATGATGGCGTGAACATTAATTTAGGACGCCCGGTGAAAAAAAGCTGGTGAGCATAATTATGAGTTTGTTGATAACGCCATCTTCGACGGCTTGAATCAAGTATGTAGGGAAATTATAAAGGACCGTGCAGATTCTTGTCTATCGTGTTATACGCAAATCAGGTCATTAGTGAAATCATGACTTGTGCACCCTACCCCGCCCAATTTCTACCCCCCCCCCCTTTTTTCCATCTCCCCTCCCCTCTATCTCATATCCCCGTCACCCCTCATCGAAATCACCACCATTACCAAAAACACGAGTACCACCACAACCATCACCACCTCCATTACCTCCTCTACCCCACTACCAACACGACACCACACCCTACCATCACCACCACAACCCATCACACCATCTCCGACAGTGGAAGAGTCCCCCCCCCCCCCCCCCCTCACGCCCTTTATCCATTTCTGGCGATTCCAGAGGTGTTGTGGTCCAGTAGATAATAGGGACTTTTAGATTTGCACGTTGACAGCTTTGACTGCAACGTGTGACGTCATTTTAAGGCACTGCGCATGCGTTACGTCGTCTCAGTCGGCGATCGAGAATGCGTCAACCCTGATTTTCCTAAATCTAGTACATACATACATACATATTGATATTTATATAGCGCCTTTACATGCTCAAGGTACTAGTATGCCGCGTGCGCATAAAATATACAGTTCCTCAGGTAGACAAAGGAAGATCCCTTCCCTGCTATTATGTAAAAATGTGTAGAACAGGTGTCACATGCATATTCACCTGTTCTACACATTTTTACATAATAGCTGTGAAGGAATGTTCTTTTGTTGAGGGTAGAATGAGGAACTGTATATTTTGTCCTCTTTCCTTTTCCGTGATGTTCATAGTGTTACTTCCTGTATGCATGTATATCGTCGAGTGCGATTTAAAAGATTTCTAATCGTAGTCAACATGGGCAGTTAAGTACGTTGACACGCATGATCAGTCGACGTTCGTCGTGTTCTCGTCCACTCAATCTAAAAGTCCCTACTTATCCAGACTGTGAACCACAAGGTACGGGGTTCGAATTCATGACGCAGCATCAATGTTCTTTGGCAGTACATTAATCTCTTTTGTCACACTCCATCCAGGGGAGGTAAATGGGTACCTGGCAGGAATACATTCCTTTAAATGCTTGAGCGCTGTAATGGCAGTCATGCTAAAGCCAGATAAACAATGATAATAGAAGAGCGCCAGGAGTGGCACTGTGCCAAAACGAGCGCTATACAAGACTTCACATATGTTATTATTATAATAATCATACTTATTCGAGTTAAGATTTAACGACATTTTAAATTGAGGGCTAGTGATTTCATATAACATTATCATCCGTGGAAGATCTGTATCCCCCCCCCCCCCCCCCCCCCTCGCTCTAGTATGGCTTTGAGGATACGCCACCATTATATCAGTAACATTGCCTCAGATTCTGAAACAAAATATTGGATTTAACTCATGCTGCAATCATAATTATAAACCTTTATGTCAGTCAGGAATCCCATGACTTTTACAAGCCGATCGCCTGTCTGATTATCAAGATATTTATGATTGGAATGCGAAAATTCAAAAACCGTTCCCCAACGGGTTTATAACACTACATTCTTTTGGGGAAAATGAGTATGGTAAAACCGGTCACTCAAAGATTTTTACTTTTTTGAGGCACTTCATGAAAATTTTGAAGCGCAAATTTTACACCATATCACAAATACTCAGAGCACGTAAGGCCTTGTATCTCAGATTCGTAAAACTCGAAACATTGTTAAACAATATGCCTTTAAAGTGCGTGTGTACTAGTGTGGACAAGAAGGATTAGACCACCCAGCGAGGGCACAGACAGGTGGCTATCTCATCAACTCAGCTCTCAATTAACATAAGAAAAAGAGGATCATGGGGACCAACAGGCACCGATTAGGCATTGTTTGCTATATAGAGGGCGCAAGTAGCTATAAGTAATGCAGTGGGGCTTTAAGAATTGTCTTACCCGAGACAGGAGGTGGAAGAGTGGGCGTAGGGGGCTTCAACCATCTGGTCACCCTGCCCCCTAGCTGGACGCCTAAAGGAAGCTTAGCGACGATCATCACCCCAAAGAGAACCTCGATGACCACCATTATGATGACGCCGAGTGGAATCCATACCTTGAGACAAAGTCTGAAAATTGAATAATTAATTAGATAATCTAATCATTGATTAAAATTGTGTCTTTTGCCCATGATAGGGAACTGAGGAAACTTTTCAACCCACAAGCTTCTGCTTTTTGTTTGGTTCCCTTTTTTTTTCCTTATCTATTATGTTAATGTACATGAATTGTATTTTAACAATTTAGACAAATAAAACAATTGAATTGAATTGAAGAAAAACAATTGTAATTAAATTGATACAGAAACCTTTTCCAATCACTTCCACATAGTGTCATTTACAATGCATTCACATGACTAGGGCCCTGTTGCATAAAACGTACCATTGATTGCAACTCTACCTTCAAAGGCAACTACCATGGTAACAGGGCTCAACAGCCAATCAAAATCAAGATTTCCATGGTAGTTACAGTTGATGGCAAAGTTACCATCATTGGTAAGTTTTGTGCAACGGGGCCCAGGGCCCTGTTTCATAAAATTTGTTATCAATAACAAATTGCAATAACTGTTATAAGCTACTGAAATCGAGGCATTTGATTGGCTGAGAGCAAATTTGTCAGAGAAATTTAGAATTCGTTTGTGATATCAAGTATTATGAAATAGGGCCCAGTAGTAATACTGCTCTTCCCGTAGATCGAGCCTGGAGTTAGTATTACCACAGCATTGCGACTACTCTATACAACGCCCAGAGAAATCCATATTTTCTAAATGACCACAAAAAAAAAGTTTAATATTTTGTTGCATTAAACACATTTGCAATGATTCTAAATAATCCCAAATCTCGAAAATAGTTTGGCTACAAATCCTTTTAATTTTTTGCCCCCACACTTTTGGCAAACTCCCTGTATTTATCACAAAAGACATTAAAACATACCTCTACAAAAGTGCGCCCTTAGGCTTAGGGACAACGTTCTGTATCCACTTAAAAGATGCTTTATAAAAACCAATTATTGTTATTATTATTAGTAGTAGTAGTTGTAGTAGCAGTTGTGTAGTAGTAGTAGTAGTACTACTACTACTAGTAGTAATAGTAGTAGTAGTAGTAGTAGTAGTAGTAGTAGTAGTAGTAGTAGTAGTAGAAGTAGTAGTAGTAATAGTAGTAATAGTAGTAGTAGTAGTAGTAGTAGAAGTAGTAGTATTAGTATTAGTAGTAGTAATAGTAGTAGTAGTAGTAGTAGAAGAAGAAGTAGTAGTAATAGTAGTAATAGTAGTAGTATAGTAGTAGTAGTAGTAGTAGTAGTAGTAGTAGAAGTAGTAGTATTAGTAGTAGTAGTAGTAGTAGTAGTAGTAGTAGTAGTAGTAGTAGAAGAAGTAGTAGTAATAGTAGTAATAGTAGTAGTATAGTAGTAGTAGTAGTAGTAGTAGTAGTAGTAGTAGTAGTAGAAGAAGTAGTAGTAATAGTAGTAATAGTAGTAGTATAGTAGTAGTAGTAGTAGTAGTAGTAGTAGTAGTAGAAGTAGTAGTATTAGTATTAGTAGTATTAGTAGTAGTAGTAGTAGTAGTAATAATAGTAATAGTAGTAGTAGTAGTAGTAGTAGTAGTAGTAGTAGTAGTAGTAGTAGTAGTATAGTAGTTGTATTATTAGTAGTAGTAGTAGTAGTAGTAGTAGTAGTAGTAGTTTGTTTGTGATGATTGTCATGGAGTGATATGCACAAAGTGAAACGTATATGGACGCCATCACCATCATTAACTTGTTCACTTTTTAACTTGTTATTCATTTATATATACACAATACCCTATAGGCTGTTATACATTCATTAACCTCCACGTCACTCAAAACAATCTTAATATCTGATGATAAAAAGAAAAACAAGGTGCGGAAAAATGCTGAGATGACAAGAAAAACTTACACTCGCTCTCTCGTCATTGACGTAGACATTGTCGACTTCTCTTTACTCGCTAAAATCATGCTGGAAGACGGACACGGAATTAATAATTCAGATAGTTTGCCGCCTGTTTGTCTTAGCTGTAACCAAAATTAACAATAACACGTAAAGATCATCGCCATTGTTTCGGACATCCCATTGCATTCACTGTGTATATAGCACCTCCACAAAGTTTGATCGAGATTCAAAATTCCGAAGGCGAGGCCGATCTTGCCAGAAACGAACTTCCAAAAATTGATGCCAAAAGTTACTCCTGAGTTTGGTGAAAATGGTAGCTGTGTACTCGATGGAACACGAATCGAATCTTGTGATGTGCTCGGGGTTTTAAAGGAAAACTACGACTCAACATTGCCGCCATTTAAGTGTAAAAGTAAATTGTATATAAAACTATATACTGCTAGACCACATCGGAACTATAAGGGCATTGGTATAATGATAACTGAACGAAGACGCACAATAGAGAAAATTGATTTGAACGGCGGAGAAGAAAAGGAAGATGTATCGATTAGAGTCTAAAGGAGGGGTCTCGGGTTATCTCTTTCCTGGGGCTCATTGATTCGATGAAAGGGGGGGGGGGTAGGATTAGGCTTAGGGTGTTAACATATGTTAGGTTCACTTGGGAATTAACTCTCACGTGTTGTTATCCGATTACATTATTGTAAAAGAAATTTTGTGGAAGCAATTTGGAGAGGTTGATTATGCAGCACATTGATTATTGATGTATGTTTTGAAGTTTGTTTTTATTTCTGCATTTTCAACAGAAAAGAAAGAACATATATAGTATTAACAAAAGTTAAAATACATATAAAATCATATCACTATATAAATCAATCAATTATTTTACTATTAAAAATCACATAGGTCTAGTCGAAAAATCACTACGAAATTGAAAAATGCAGAAGAGCGCCATCATAAGCTGAAATCATCAGTACGATTAGAAATTGACTCAGCCTTGTTAGAAGAAAAAAAATCACATCCCCTGCACAGAGACATTGATTTGATGGGCTTCAAAATCATGGAACATTGCTCCAACTCTCATCATTTACGGCTATTTCTCGTCATTATAATTGAATAGTAGTAATTGAAAAGCAATGCTTTTGAGGGGACATTTCTTTTGAGAAATACTCTCACACTAACTTTACAAAACAGAACGAAAATGCTCACAAATGATTTCCCCTTTCCTTGAACTAAACATTTTTTTTTGTCAATGTTAACTGTTAAATGAATATCCAATCCTAATAGCAAACTGGTCAAAGAGAAAGCAGCTAAATCAGAAAAGGGGATGGATGGATGTTTGAACGAAATCGAACAAACAATGAATGCTCTCGGTGTTTGTTTTTTTCTCTCTCTCTATCTCTCTCTCTCTCGCTCTATCTCCCCTATCATTCCCTCCCATTCTCTTTCCTACCCGCTATCTCTCTTTTGTAAAATCAAAGAGATACTTTGGTAAAATTTGAGATATAGGAGGGACATGAGAAATAGCTACATTTTTTAACTTTGAAATCATCATGATACTTGATTACGTATTGCCTGGTTTTTCTTTTCCTGCGATACATAGGGGAAAAACAAACTTATGATATATATTTCTTATTCTGTGATCATGGTCAGTTTGAAGAGAAGAAAATGGTATAATTAAAGTTTCATATAAAGAATAAATGTGGTCATAAAATACTCTGGCTCATAAATTATTCGAAAATATGTCAATATTCTCTTTCCCTCTCTCCCTCTCTCCCTCCCTCCCCTCTCTCTATCCATCACTCTCTCATTCTCTCTCTCTCTCTCTCTCTCTCTCTCTCTCCCTCTCTTTCTTTCTCTCTCTTTTGTTAAAGACAAGATGATGTTCTGATTTAGGTGAACACTAATTGGTGATTTATAATATTATTTTCTCATTCTGTGATCATGGTCAGTTTGAAGAAAAAAATAGTAGAATTAATGGATCATAATTATACAAAATACAAATTGGTCATAAATACCCTCATAATTTATTCGAAAATATGACAAGAATAGTAAAAAAAAATTGCCCCATGTCTTCATTTCTATGTATATTTCCTCTTTCTCTTCCCCTTGCTCTTTCTCCCTTTCGCTCTCCCCCCCCCCCCCCCCCCCCCTCTCTCTCTCTCTCTCTCTCTGCCCCTGCTTCCACCTCTCTTTCCCTTTCCTCGCCATCTGCCTAGCCGGACTCTCTCCTCTTTCCCCCTCTCTACCACGCCTTTCTCCTCTCCTCTCCTCATTCACAGATCAAAGTCATGCATTCCCAAAACAGAACGGTTCTCTCCAAAAAGTCCAAGCTTGTTTTAGGGAGGAACACAAATAGCCATTAATTTCGAAAAATCAACGGCTATTTCAATGGCCTTGTCCACCATCTATTGAAAATGTGCGAACATCACAATAACATGGACATATTACATAATTCGAAAATGATTTCTGTGGGATGTAAATAGGGTTTTGACATTGTCCTTGAGTTGATTTTTCGGAGGTCTTTAATAGGATCATCAATTAATTAACATTTTGAGTGTATAAGCGTGTGAGTGTCACAACTATTCCTCTCCGAACGCTATGACTCCAACACCCCTCATAAACGTCATGCGCGGTCTCCACGTTGTCCCCGTACCCTTGCAAAATCAATATTAGCCACGAATCAACCTCATTTGCATATCAATGAATAATTTTCATGAACAACCGATTACCTTCGGCGGAATGCTTCTAAAGACTAAAGGTCCATGTTTGAATTATAGCCCCATCCAGTCAACAAACATGGTACGTTTATCAAATGAAAGCCTCTCCGCGATGCATGTGTATTTAACACTTATTTTGTTGAGAACACATTTGAAAAGGGTAAACTGAAGTATCGCTGAAAACTAAATATCAGATATATGTAGGATATATTGACGGGTTGAGGAACTGCTGCACAGCGATTTGAAGTCGTTATACCACAAACATTGGGTTACCAACTTCCAGTACGCATGCATGTTGGGGATAACTGTTCACCTTCGGTGAGTAGACTGACTATTTTCTTGATCTCCTTCTGAAATATCCAGTTCTTTTAATATTTCTAACCACCGTCCTTTAATAAGTACAGTCTAAGTTCTTCCTTGGATTTTTTCCCCTTCTTCTTCGTGTATTTCTCCCCTTTACATTGTGTACAACGCGTTTGTATTATGTGCTGTTTATCTTTTTTAAAACCCTTTTATAGCGTTGAATGATTATGATGTTTGTTCTAATTACGTGAAAATATCTTCTTACGTTCAATTCCAATGTTATGTGTGACAGAGAGGGAACTGCAAAATAAATGAAATTGATACATACGAACTTATTATATTGTGACGTGGCATGAAATAAAGATAATGATCAGTTTTCTTTGATGCGATTGCCAGTTATTTTATGATCAACGGTCATGAATATTTGCTACTTGTTATGAAATATGTTTTGAAATACATATTGTTCTTTTCTTTTTTATACAAGGTATCACGTTTAGACCTATATAAGCATGATAATGCTAACGTTGAAAACACGTCTGATGTCGATCGATAAAGGTCCTTTCATAGAGTTTCTTGACAGCAAGTTTACTATGAAATTCTGCCGTCCAAAATTAGCTATGAGGATCTTAAACGAAACATTTCTTGATATGTTTACTATATTAATACGCGAAAGATCCAGAATCAAATGTTTTTGTAAATAATATTAATATAGTAGGAGTAGTGGTAGTATAGTAATTGTAGTAGTAGTTGTAGTGGTGGTAATAGTAGTAGTAGTAGTTGTTGTAGTAGTAGTAGTAGTAGTAGTAGTAGTAGTAGTAGTAGTAGTAGTAATAATAGTAGTAGTAGCAGCAGCAGCAGTGGTGGTGATGGTGGTATCGGTAGAAGTAATGATGATGATTTCATATAGTAACTACGCTATGTGAATTGATCTAATTGTTTTTATTGTTATTATCATTATTATAACTAAACCGCCATACATAGGCTTTAGATAACGAGAGTCAGACTCGACTAGCACATGTGCTACTCTTTATTCTATTTTACCATTGATCACAAACTCATTATAAAAAGTCATTCATTGTTTTACTCTTGACACTAAATTTACTTATACCTATTTTTAGATTTTTATAATGTATATATATATATATATATATATATATATATATATATCGCTGTAGAACATGTATTTTTAGCATTCATGTCATGTATTTATGTTATATTGACATTGTCATTGTAGATTTATATATCTTTTGTTTCAATGTTTTCAATGGTGGTAAATAAATAAATTCAATTCGAATTCAATTAAATTCAATACATACATATACCTACACATGCTTTCTATAATTATTATTATTATTATTAAATATTTGGCGTCGCCTGTGTCTGGGAGGCGAACGGCAAACTTAATCACTGCAACCTCGGGTCTCTCCTCCCGGTAAAACTGGTTGTGCATGTGGACCACTACACCGGGGTTTCCCCTGCGAAATCCAATAAATATTTATCAATGCGCTTTACGTGACGAATTAATGCTAATGACAAAACAACCAAATACTAGGAAATAGATAGATACAAACAGAAACTTATAATCTTATTAATCAGTTATTGAAGAGGAGTGTCTTTATGTACTTCAAAAAAGTAAATCTCATTAAAAGAGTCAAAAAGTGGAGGGTGCTTTATGTTTCGGGGCCGTCATGTGAGAAAATACACTTCCCCGATTTGTGTTAAACTGAAAATAAATACAATTACAAATTGGAATGATCTAAGAAACTTTAAGAAACCGCAAAACAAATAATCAACTTTCTGATAGCAACGCAAACGTTGTATCTTCTTGTCATTCATACCTTGGACTTTGTACCTCTTTAGCCTAATTTATTGTACCTTGTGTTGGTCATAAGCCCGTGTGTGTTTTGTAGTCTGTAAACTTTTGGCCCGAATTCACAAAGGAGGTTTGTCGACAAACCTAGGTTTATGTGCGTCATATGACGCGTTTCCACGCGTTTTTTGCAAACCGTTGGTAAAAACGCGTCAAAGACGCGTCAAAAACGCGTCATTATGACCACATAAACCTAGGTTTGTCGTTGTGAATTCGGCAGTTATAAGTATAGTGCAGTGGGGTTTAAAGGGAGATAGTAATCGGTTTCCACGTGCATATAATGCCGTAATTCGCTGACTCCAGCCTTGGTTTAACTACCATTGACGTGCATGTGTACAAGTCTCGCACACAGCAAATCCGTGATGCCATCACAGAATTGAAAATGTACACCTTCACCGAAAGATTGCGCAATTGAAAATACATAATAGCAGTCGAAGCGATGTCGGTAAAATACCCTGCCTAATTTAAACCCTATTTCGAAAAAAAGCTTAAACCCTGCGTCGGGTTAATTTTTTAGCACAATACGGGCCAAACTTTTCAAGATGAAGTTTCATGAATGTCAGTCATGTAGAAAAAGAAAAAAGAAAAAAAAGAAAAGAAAATGGGTTAATCGTTCAATAGGTAACTGACGGGATATAGTTGTCCTAAGCATGCTTATGGGCCTAGTTGTCCGTAAATCTCAGTAGGGGGGGGGGGGGGGGGTTCAAAAAATCCCTAGTTGAACTTATCTCTAAGTTGGACTTAACAATTATGGAAAGCCGTTAGCATCTGTGAAAATACTTTGTAAAAGTTATTTTTAAAGGCATAAAATGTTGATTCATATTTTATGTTATTAAAGAGATTTTATGTTCTTGATGTGGAATTTATAAAAAGTCTGAAATACTTAAATTTTCATTTTTGAATATATTTTATTTTAAGGGTACAAATGGCTCTCTATAATTTCGAAGTCCAACTTTGAGTTAAGTTCGACTTAGGATCTTTGTGAAACACCCCTAAGGACTAGTGGTCCAAGGATAATTGTATCAAGGGGTGGTAATAATGATCTCCCTTTTCCAGTATTTTTTTAAAGGCACATTGCACTACTTGTAGCTACTTGCGCCCTCTATATAACAAACAATGCCTAATCGGTGATCATTGGTCCCCCATGATCCTCTTTTTCTTATGTTAACTGAGAGCTGAGTTGATGAGATAAGCACCTGTCCAGTGACCTTGCAGGGCAGTCTAATCCCTCCTGTAAACTACGGCAGATAAGATTTAAAGAGCATATTCTGAATGTTATTCTTCCTTCTCTCCTTTTTTAGATCTCAAACAGAGTCAAGGAGATGACTTTTCCGTACAGCCGCCGGTGCTTCCCATACTGTGGGCCCTTCCGTTTCCGGGAGATCGTCTTTGCGGTCAGCGCGTTCTTCTTTCTCGGTTACGTCATCGGTGCTTTACTTAAACAAGATCCGCTGGGGAATCGTTCGCTGCTTCAAGAGAAAATATACGGACGCAATGTGGAAAGGACCAGCGAACTCGCAGATGATCACGTAGGAAAGGAAGTAAAGCAAAAAGAGGGATACATATCATGTGAGTATTGCTTAATTAGCAAATAATGAAATGACTTGGTAACATTTATGTCATCAATGTTACACCCTAATTCATAAATAAGTTGTTATAAATCGTTGCATACGTAAGGTCCATTCTGATCCAAATTAAAATTTAATTGTCACAACTTTTGTTTGGTGTTTGGTTACAAGTCTTAATTGTAAAGATGATGAAGATGGTTATAATAATTATTTCTTTAAGTACAATTTCTTATCTAGACCCATCATTATTATATTCATGAAATATTATATCGTATAATTATAGTCAAAACTTGTAAATGGCGATGTGGGGGAGGGGGGCAAGGCAACAGCTCAAACAGATTCAATGTTTTGCTGACATTTTTCTGACATAATAGTTATATACAACTATTTGTTTTTCCATTTGGCATTGTGTGGCACAGAACATAACAGTATGTACAGACCACAGTACACGGTCATGTAGAGCACTGGAACATGTTTACTGTTGAAAATGTAATACACCATGTTTAAAGTAAGAACACAGTTACTGTGGTGCACTGTGGAATACTATTTTGCACTATATGGTACACTGTGAAACACTATTACACACTGTGGTTTACTAAGGAACACTTTTATACACTGTAGTACACTGTGGTACACTGTGGAATACTGTTTTTCACTATATGGTACACTGTGAAACACTATTACACACTGTGGTTTACTATGGAACACTATTATACACTGTAGTACACTATGGAACACTGTGGAATACTGTTTTTCACTATATGGTACACTGTGAAACACTATTACACACTGTGGTTTACTATGGAACATTATTATACACTGTAGTACACTATGGAACACTGTGGAATACTGTTTTTTATACTACATTGGACACTGTGAAACACTATTACACACTGTGGTTTACGATGAAACATTATTATACACTGTAGTACACTGTGGAACACTGTGGAATACTGTTTTTTATACTACATTGGACACTGTGAAACACTATTACACACTGTGGTTTACGATGAAACATTATTATACACTGTAGTACACTGTGGAACACTGTGGAATACTGTTTTTCACTATATGGTACACTGTGAAACACTATTACACACTGTGGTTTACTATGGAACATTATTATACACTGTAGTACACTATGGAACACTGTGGAATACTGTTTTTTATACTACATTGGACACTGTGAAACACTATTACACACTGTGGTTTACTATGGAACATTATTATACACTGTAGTACACTGTGGAACACTGTGGAATACTGTTTTTCACTATATGGTACACTGTGAAACACTATTACACACTGTGGTTTACTATGGAACACTATTATACACTGTAGTACACTATGGAACACTGTGGAATACTGTTTTTTATACTACATTGGACACTGTGAAACATTATTACACACTGTGGTACACTGTGGAACACTATTATACACTACAGTACACTGCGGGACACTATTATACACTGTGGTACACTGTGGATTACTGCTAAACTCTGTGGTTTACTACGGAATACTATGATACACTGTGATAAACTCTGGAACATATTGGAACTCCATAATACATTGTGGTACATTCTGGAATACTATTATACACGATGGTACACTGTGAAACACTATTATACACTGCGGTAAACTGTGGAACACTATAATACACTGTGGTACACTGTGGAATAATATGATACACTGTGATACACTGCGGAACACTATTGTACACGGTGGTTAACTATGGAAAACTATGATATACTGTGGTACATTGCGGAACACTATTATACATAGTGGTTTACTATGGAATACTATGATACACTGTGGTACACTGTGATAAACTTTGGTACTTATTGGAACTCTGTCATACGTTGTTGTACACTGTGGCATACTCTAATACACTGTGGTACACTGTGAAACACTATTATACACTGTGGTACACTGTGAAACATTATATTACACTGTGGTACACTTTGGAACACTATTATACATTGTGGTTTACTATGGAATACTATGATGTACTGTGGTACACTGTGGAAAACTGTGGTACATATGGGAACTCTATCATACATTGTGGAACACTGTGAAATACTTTTCTACACTGTGGTACATTGTGGAACCCTGATAAACACTGTGGTTTACTATGGAATACTTCAAACACTGTGGTACACTTTGAAACACTGATATACACTGTGGTTCACTATGGAATACTTGTATACACTGTGGTACACAGTGGAACACTGATAAATACTGTGGTTTACTATGGAATACTATGATACACTGTGGTACACTGTGATAAACCCTGGAACATATTGGAACTCCATCATACATTGTGGTACACTGTGGAATACTATTATACACTGTGGTACACTATGAATACTTTTAAACACTGCAGAAAACTGTGGAACATTCTTATACAATGACTGGTAGACTGTTGAATACTGTTATTCACGATATGGTACACTGTGAAATACTTTACACACTGTGGTACACTGTCTAACACTGAAGTACACTGTGGAACATTCTTTCCTGTTCATTAGTAAACAGTGTCTGTAACCAATTATAATCACCTGTTGCTGTCTTTCAATTTTCGCATGTTGCAGCCTTGAATAAAACATGGTTAACGTGGGACAAGATTGACAGTCCGGGTGTCTACCGCGCATGCGTGAAGAGACCGGAACCGGAAGCAATGAGATGGGAAATTACGGGGGAGCTTGTCCTACAAGAGATTGCAGACAAGTTGAAGATTGAGGCGTGCCTTGAAACTTGCATTCAGTTGGTGAGTATAAAATGATAAACAAATCAGTTGTCAATTTAAATTTAAATTCAAATTCAATATCAATTTATTCATGTTTCCAACAAAATATTGCAAATCAATTATAGAGTCCTTCGACCAAGGTTGCTAAATAATAGCTTAAAGGTTCGTAGTTGTCATTGGGAATTTGACACCATTCGGGTGTTTACCCAATTAAAATGTCTTGTTAATCACCACGAGTAGACTTCACTTTTACGACCGATACGTCTTGTGTTATCCACTGTGCCCTGAACCTACCGCCATCGTGAATTCACATTGTAACATTTTCTTCACCGTCAAGATATGAAAGCAAGCTGAAGTATTTTCTTGTGGGACAACAGGTTTGCTGCCTCAGAAACCTGCGCACCCATTAATTGGTAATTCACCAGATTTGGTGTCAGGGAATTATGATGCAATAAACATGGACCCATGCCTACCATGTGGCTTTAAAGACTGAATTATCTTCCTCATCCCTAAAATACACAAGAAAAATAAAACTGTACTTCATGACTGTTTCTTGATTATTATTGTCATATGAAATAATTGAAAAATCCTTATGCCCTAAACTCAGATGGTGGGAAGTTCTGTCAATAAATGCATCAAAATAAATTCGTAATTATTCGTAAAGTGGGGGTGTAGTAGTCTCGTTGATACGTCAGCGGACTGTGGAGCTCATGGCTCGTTGTTCGAGTTCCGCAACGGCACTCAAGTCCTTTGGCAAGACATTAAACTAAATGTGTCACTGTTCACCCAGGTGTGAATGAGTACCTGGCAACTACAATAATTCCAGGGCCCACAGGAAGAACAATATTAATGCTCTTCTCCTTCTTCTGTGAGTTATAGCATTATATTTATTATTATTATTATTTTTTTTATCATTATCATCATCATCTGTATCATCTTCTCCGTTTTTTATCCAGGTGTTTACCTACGCAGCGCTGAGCCGTGGCCACGAATGCTACTGCACGGATGTTTCCTCGAAATCACAGTTCTTGTCTTATGTAGATAGCGCCCTCTGCGACGTGCCATGTACAGGGGACCAGTACCACAACTGTGGCGGGAACAAATTTATGTCCGTTTACAGAACATCTGTTCCAGGTAATGAATTCATAAATTTCACCCATGCTCTTTCAAATGATACAAACTTATGGTAAACATATTTAAAATTGTTGGTAAGCTTAAAGGGACTTTGTAACATTTTTCAGATGAGAGATAGTGGTGCTAACGTAGTGACTTCAATGCTAGATGTACAATTAAAGATAATGAAAATTTGAGTGAAAACGGATCATTATTCATGGTACAAATTGGGAAAAACTGATCTGATCGATTCCTTAATTCTCCCAACTATATTATTCTACTTCTATTTCTGCTACTTGTCAAAGCCTGTTCAGCATCAAGACAAGGACAATTTAATTACATTTTAGGTGAATGTAAATCGTCACAAAGCAATAAAATGGCTCTACATTCCATTCCAGACATTGACAGATTTGTATATCCTGTTTTATGTATTTTTCTCGTGAAAAAACGGTTAGGAAAATTCAAAAATGGTTGGGAGAATTTACTGTTAATCACTGTTAGAGGGTGCCTCACATCGACGCCTTCAAAGAAAATCATAGATATCTTTGTGGTTTGAGAATTTGTTCAGGATTTTTTGCATGTCAGAGGGTTAATATAGTAGAAGGAATATAGTAAGTAACATTTTATACAAAAATTAAGCAATTTTTTTTCATCAACCTTCAACAATGTTACCGAGTCACTTTAAATCATAAATGAATTGAAAGCTCCACAGGTCCATTATCGATCATCAAGAACTGCCCTCAAGTCATAACAAATAAACCCTTAGGGCTTTTAACCTAGTGAAACCTGGTCTACCGTCTGTCAGTTGTTTTCATGTGTAACATATGGTGGCCCTGAAGGGACATCGCGAATAGACTACATCGTGAAAAATATGCGATAAAATTCACGATATCGTCAATTTTATCGCATATTTTTCACGAAGAAATTCACGAAATTGACGATATCGTGAACTTTATCGTGAACTTTTCACGATGAAATTGACGATATCGTGAATTTTATCGTGAAAAGTTCACGATATAAAGTTCACGATATCGTCAATTTTATCGTGTACTCTATCGTGTACTCTATCGTGTACTCTCCTGACGGGCGCTTCGTAAACAAAACCAGCCCTAGCTGGGGGAGACAGAGAGAAGGAAAAAAGGGAAAGGGAAAGAGAAGATAAAAGGAAAGAAAGAATAATAAGAAGAAAAGAGGGAAACGGGGGGGGGCGAAGGGCTCTTGCCTCCTCCTCACTCCCCCCCCCCCCTCCCCGCCAAAAAATAAATCAGAGAGAGAGAGAGAAGGGAAAGGGAAAGGGAAAGAGAAGATAAAAGGAAAGAAAGAAGAGGAAGAAGAAGAAAAGAGGAAAACGGGGGAAGGGCGAAGGACTCTTGCCCCCCCCCCCTCCCCCCCCCCCCCGCCAAAAAATAAATCAGAGAGAGAGAGAGAAGGGAAAGGGAAAGGGAAAGAGAAGATAAAAGGAAAGAAAGAAGAGGAAGAAGAAGAAAAGAGGGAAACGGGGGCAAAGGGCTTTTGCCTCGTCCCCCCGCCCCCCGCCAAAAAAATAAATAAGAGAGAGAGAGAGAAGGAAAGGGAAAGAGAAGAAAGAAAGAGAAAAACGAAAAAGAGGGAGAATAGGAAAGAAAGGAAAAGAAAGAAAAGAAAGGAGGCAAGAGCCCTTCGCCCCTGTTTCCCTCTTTTCTTATTCTTTTTCCTCTTCTTTCTTTCCTTTTATATTTTCTTTCCCTCTCCCTTCTCTTTCCCTTTATGGCGGGAGGGGGGAGGGGGAGGTAAGAGCCTTTCGCCCTTCCCCCGCTTCCCTCTTTCCGTCTTCTTCTTCTTTCTTTCCTTTTATATTTTCTTTCCCTTTCCCTTTCCCTTCTCTCTATCTCTCTCTCTCTCTCCTATTTATTTGTTGGCGCGGGAGGGGGGGGGGGGAGGAGGCAAGAGCCCCTCTTTTCTTCTTATTCTTCTTCCTTTCCTTTTTTTATTCTCTTTCCCTTTCCCTTCTCTCTCTCTCTCTTATTTATTTTTTGGGCGGGGGGATGCAAGAGCCCTTCGCCCCCGTTTCCCTCTTTTCTTCTTCTTTCTTTCCCTTTCCCTTCTCTCTCTCTCTCTCTCTCTCTTATTTATTTTTTTGGCGGGGGGGGGGGGAGGTAAGAGCCTTTCGCCCTTCCCCCGTTTCCCTCTTTCCTTCTTATCCCTCTTCTTTCTTTCCTTTTATATTTTCTTTCCCTTTCCCTTTCCCTTCTCTCTCTCCTTATTTATTTTTTGGCGGGGGGGGGGGAGTGAGGAGGATGCAAGAGCCCTTCGCCCTTCCCCTGTTTCCCTCTTATTCCTCTTCTTTCTTTCCCTTTCCCTTCTCTCTCTCTCTCTCTTATTTATTTTTTTGGCGGGGGGGGGGGGAGGTAAGAGCCTTTCGCCCTTCCCCCGTTTCCCTCTTTCCTTCTTCCTCTTCTTTCTTTCCTTTTATATTTTCTTTCCCTTTCCCTTTCCCTTCTCTCTCTCCTTATTTATTTTTTGGCGGGGGGGGGGGAGTGAGGAGGAGGCAAGAGCCCTTCGCCCCCCCCCCCCGTTTCCCTCTTTTCTTCTTATTATTCTTTCTTTCCTTTTATCTTCTCTTTCCCTTTCCCTTTTTTCCTTCTCTCTATCTCCCCCAGCTAGGGCTGGTTTTGTTTACGAAGCGCCCGTCAGGAGAGTACACGATAGAGTACACAGAGTACACGATAGAGTACACGATAAAATTGACGATATCGTGAACCTTATATCGTGAACTTTTCACGATAAAATTCACGATATCGTCAATTTCATCGTGAAAAGTTCACGATAAAGTTCACGATATCGTCAATTTCGTGAATTTCTTCGTGAAAAATATGCGATAAAATTCACGATATCGTGAATTTTATCGCATATTTTTCACGATTTAGTCTTTTCGCGATGTCCCTTCAGGGCCACCATAGTAACAGGGTGTGACGAATTGTTCTCACTCCAAGCATCACAAAAAATTCCCATCAGTTAATCATTTGTATGGCTACTGTACATAAAAAAGCAAAATATGTTTCTACCACAGAGTTTAACGGCACCACATAATAGTCTTTCTACCACAAATATCTTAACACAAGAATCATCGTATTATACAATTAGTTTGTACTTGTGGCCACACCAAAAAAAAAAAGATTTCCTACCACGAAGTTTGTCACACTACACTCAAATCACAATATCATGGTATTATACTGCGTCTTATCAGTGTCCTATGCTTACTCAATTCATACAGATGCAAGATGTACCTCCATCAAGTTGGGCACACCCGGTACGCTACCGCTCATTGCATTAGCTTCGTACCCCCGGTCCGGCAATACCTGGACGCGTCAACTCATCGAGAAAGCTACTGGTATATACACCGGCAGTGTTTACTGGACGACCGAGCGTCTTATGGAAATTTCCAAGAAAGGTGCAGTGTTCGTGTATTAAACTTAAACTTTGGTGTTTTACTTGTTGGTTACGTTGTGCTATTATTTTAGTGTAAACTTAAGATTAGTCAACTTTGGTATTTTATTCAGCTCTTTTATCGTTCCAGACACCAAAAGGGCTATCATGGTAACTTTACTTTACTTACTTAAAATAAACCTTTTACGCAATTGAGTAATAATAATGAGTGTCGTGGTCAAGTGGTTTAAGGCGCTTGAGTGAAGATGCGAAGGTCGACGGTTCTAATCCCGACACGGCACTAATATCCTTTGGCAAGATATTCACCTGCACTTGTTACTCTCCACCCAGGTGTTATATGGGTATCCGGTAGGATGCGACCGTCATTATTGATCAAACAGTTTTTTTGAGCGTCAAGTAACGCCTGGCTGGAATGCTCCCCAGGGAGTGGAGATTGTGCAGACAGTCTGTGCGGGCAAGTTTAGAATCCAATGACCGGGGTAATAATGTATATCTGTAAAGCGCTTAGAGACATTTGTATTAAGCGCTATATAAAAGGTGAATATTATTATTATAGTAATAATCATGATAATAATAATAATTTCAACTATTCTTTTATTGTTTTCTCAAAACTTGACTGCACAGTTTTTCCTGGAGGAAACGTCGATTACAAGGGAAAGAGCACCATCTGCGTCAAGACTCATATGTCTGAGTTTGGTCACGTGGGCCAGTTTGAGGGCGCCATCATGCTCATTCGGAATCCTTACCGAGCGATCGTTGCCGAAGTCTTCCGGAGACAACTCTTCGTCTCAAACAACTCGCCCGAGGAAGCAATCAAATTTTTCAAATCCAAAGGTTTGACATTTTAATGTAATATCAGCGGATGTATAATGGTTTAGTGGTTCATTCACTTGCCTCCAAATCCGATAATAATAATAATAATAATAATAACAGTGATAGAAATGGTAATAATGATAATGACAATAATGATAGTAATAATACTAATAGTAATAAAATATAGCGAAATCATGTTTGGGCTTCACGAGGGCATTTATTTTTTGCCTTTTCAGAATAACTGTAAATTATGCAGAATAGTTAAATTTAAACTTGGGCGCCTAATAAATAAGTGGACTAACCTCAACCACGTTCAATTTAGTTTAAATTCACGTTGTTGTCGTTTTTTCTTATTCTTTCCCCTGACAGATTGGGACGTCTTCGTAAACACTGCAATTGCCAATTGGAAACTCATGAATATTCGTTGGATACAGATGCAAAGACGATTACTCCCGGTTGCATACGAAGAACTCGAAGCCGAGACCGTCCGGAAATTGACGGATATCGTCGTCTTTCTCAATCGAACAGTGGAACTCGAACGAATCGTCTGCGCAACTCAAGATCATCCGTCCTCCCTAGCAACTGGCACCTCCCTTGGCAACCACGGGAGAAAGACGCGCGTTTATCTCACCGACGACCCGTTTACCGCCGAAATGCATCTAAAAATCGACAAAAGTATCCAACTTGTCAACTACACACTTTTTAAAATCCATGGGGAAGTTTTACCGGCTGAATACCTGAAGAAAATCGATGTTTTCTAAAGATAACGGACTATGATGTCTTTTGTATGTTAATCAATATTGAAATGAAAGTGATTTATTAAATTGATATTTATTCAATAAGGTGCGAAATAGAAATACACTGTAAATACTTTGAAGGAGAATTTTTTAGAACTGAAATGTAGAACTAAATTTATTACAACTCATCATGTATTAAGGAGTGTCAATGATCATCTCGTGTAATTTTAACGTTTCTCTTGTAAACTTTACGAATAAATCAATTTGTTGTGATCTACCTGAAATTAATGATACAGTTTATTAACGTTTGGTCTACACCCATGACATGTAACATTTTAAAAGAAAAGAACATGTTAAAACACTCATTATAATATTAAAAAACTACTTAAAGAGGTAGATAAAAATGACAATCCCAGGTCTTTGGTAAAAAGAATTGATATATTGCGAGAGAGAGAGAGAGAGAGAGAGAGAGAGAAGATAAATAATCAGGAATCTCTGCAGTGTCATTGGCCAGGAGAGTTTAACCACCCCGGTTCGAGTTGGTCACAATATGGCGACTGCGGCTTTGTTGGACAAGCTCCAAACAGAAGAATATACGCCATGTTGCTGTGACCATGTTGTGACCAAGGAGTTACTACACTGAAATCAAGTTGGTCCAACCAAGGAGTTACTACAGTGTAGTAACTCCTTGGTCCAACGCTTTGTGAAGATGGATCCGAAATCTCTGTACCCTGCGTCCCCCCAAAAATATACACTTTTGAAATGGCTGCCGAATTAAAAAAATAAATGATTCTGGGGGAAATTTTTTATATGACTTTGTATGGAAAGCTCATAAACACAACTTTTATATGACACCAAACAGTCCGAAAATAATTCATGCTTGGGTGAGCACTGCTTACTTTTGTAAAGGGGATGGAAATTAGGTTGCGCAGGAATTAGCCTTCTATGCAAGTTGTGAGAGGTAAATCCTTTGGAGCTTACACAATAATTGAGGGTGATATGATACATTCATAATTTGCTGAGTGAATTCCATGGTTTATGAAACCAAACTTGTATGCATGAGTGAACATGAATTGCATTTTTTATTGTAGCATTGTAACTTTCCCTGGTAGACTCAGTGGTGTGTTCATGGGAGTCAGGATGGGATGATGCATGGTACATGTTGTAATTTCCATGTTACAAACTTTTTTCTTTTTTTTTTTTTTTTTACATCTGTGACTTTGAATAAAAACCTTCACCCCACATTTCAGTTATTGCAAGATTAGTTGAACATCTCATTGATTTGCATAATTAACAGATGGGGATTATGCAAATTGATTATTTAAGTACGGTTTGTCGAAAAAAGAATAAGTAGCCGACATCTTGGACATAATTCCTGCGCAACCTAATTTCCATATCCTTTACAAAAGTGAGCATTGCTCATCCAAGCATGAATTTTTTTCGTACTTTTTGGTGTCATAGGTAGTTGAGTTTATGAGCTTTCCATACATATACAGAATCATATATTTTGTATTCGGCAGCCATTTCAAAGTGTATAGTTTTTTGGGGGGACGCACGGTTCTGTGTAGTGTCCCTTTATAGGGACACTACTGTGCAGAGCCATCTATACACAGAGTTTGGCCCACTTGGTTTCACTGGGTCACAGCATGGCGTATATTCTTTAGTTTTGTGCTTGCCCAACAAAGCAGTAGTCGCCATATTGGCCCGAATTCACAAAGGAGGTTTGTCGACAAACCTTGGTTTTCGTGCGTCATATGACGCGTTTCGACGCGTTTTTACAAACCAGATTTGTAAAAAAAAAAACGCGTCATATGACGTACGTAAACCTCGGTTTGTCGACAAACCTCCTTTGTGAATTCGGGCCATTGTGTGCAACTCGAACCGGGTTGGCCAAACTCTCCTAATCATCGGCACTGGTACGGTGCAGTGTCAGCATAGACCTACCACCAACTGGTGGGTGGTAGGTCTATGGTGTCAGGGACTCTAGTACTGTGTAGTGTCTATAAAGGGACACTAGTCAGGGGCGGATCTAGCTTTTTGCTAAGGGGGGGGTTTGACCAAAATAATGACGATGCGGAGCATCGTCCACGAGCCGCGAAGCGGCGAGCCGATTTTTTGGGGGGTGTTTATTTGAACCCCATAAGTGATGTTTTCCTGGCATCTATTAATACAATGGAGACCATAAAAAGCAGTGCATGATAACGTCTTTTTAAATCAAGTAACAGTTGAATACACAGTTATATCCAGAGTTATCATGTGTTTGGTTAAGTTACCAGATGAGTTGAATATCTTCTCACAATATTTGCACTTGAAAGGGTTTCTCTCCAGCGTGCGTTCTCTTTTCTTTCTTTTTTTCTTCTTTTTTGTCCCTTTTTTTTTTTTTTTTTTTTGGCCGCCCAAGGGGGGGGGGGGGTTTAAACCCCCTAAACCCCCCCCCCGTAGATCCGCGCCTGCTAGTACTGTGTAGTGTCTATAAAGGGACACTAGTACTGTGTAGTGTCCCTTTATAGACTGTGGTAGGAGTAGCGCCAGCTATCGGTCAAAACTTGTAAGGCATCAAACTTGTAAGGCATGTGTGCATTGTGACAAAATGATATTGAAAAATACTGTCGCTCATATAGTTGGAATATTTTTTGTTTATCCCAATTTATGGAATTATTTTGACAATGATTTATTCCTAATAGATCTAGATAATAGTATATATTCTCAGATTTTATTGAATAATAATTTGCCAGTGTTTGTTTTGCGTGACTGCTAAAGCATGTCTATGCTACTATGCTTATCAACTAGGGGATCTACGCCCTTAAGTCATAAATGACCGTAATTAGGATTAATGCCCCACAAAGGGCACTTATAAGGAATATCGACACGGTTTTGATCCTGGGGCCTCACAGTTACGAGGCCATTGCTTTGCCACTGAACCATGACTGTACGCAGCGGGGGCTAGGGTAGGGGGCAGCTCCCACAAATAAAAAAAAAACCAAAGAAAATGCAATAAATGTTCAATAATTCATTGAATTTCCCCTGGGTCCCTAACAGAAAAAAAAATCTTCTGTGTGTCCATGCCTTGGTCCCATAATGCATGGTCGTACAGAGGATTTTTGTTATGAGCGACAGTGTATATTATATTAATTTCATACAGCCCATTCGTAAATTTATTTTAAGACGTGCAAGAAATAATTCCCAGGTTCTATTCCAAAAGAACGATATCAGTGTTTCTCTACAACTAAGGTACGACGCCCCCGCCCCCAAATCACACATATATAAATGTTTTGTTGGGGGCTCCCGTGTTAGAAATCATGAACTATCACATTGGTTTGTGGTTATATGACAGGGTTTTTGGTACAGGGCTCTCTTTGGACCTACTGAATGATATTAAGGAAGGAGCCCCCGGTAAAACAATCGCATAAGTGTGAAGAGGGTCGGGGCGTTGATTCGGAGCCCCCCCCCCCCGCGTTGATTTTTGTTTAACCTTAATACTTTGCATACTCTGGGGGTAGAATGTTGTAAGTTTCCAGTAATTAGTTTTAACAACAGAACACGGTCATGTCAGGTGGCTATTAAGCGTTACTATCAACTAATCATAGCCTAGGAGCCTTTCGGAATCTTTGAAAAAAATCATGTAAAACACAAAATTTCAAGTTAGCCGACATTTGTGACATAAATCCACTAATTTCTGAGAATCATAAAAAAGTTTTAAATGGTTACGAGATGTATGTGTAGAGGCCACTGATCAAATTGAATCCAATTTTGGATAAATTGCAATACTACAAGTGGACATATAGCTACAAGCAGTTTCACCAAAGTAATCATTGAAATGTGTGACTCTTAGATAATTGGACATTATAAAAGTAACAAAACATTTTTTTATTATTATATATACCGTTTTTATTCAACTTTCAATAGAAATCCACCCTCCTCAAGGGCGGATCCCGGAATTTTTTAAGAAGGCGGGATGGGGGAGGGGTTCAGGCCCATCAGATTTTTTTCGCAAAAGAAATGAAATAAATAAAATCATATGCGCAGTATGCTTTCTAGCACTTATTTCAAGCGTTTACCACATACCATGTATAAGCCATGGGTGGGGGGGGGGGTGCGTTGACCGCCACCTCTCCGGATCAGTGTCTGCTTTTCTGGTTTAAAGTTAAAGTTTATCACCCATTTTAGTAAATATTCATTCCGTCTCAATAACAAGACAAAACTTGCGTTTCAGCAAAAAATAATTCTTAATTTTCATGACTATCTCACATCACGGAGATTAGACCATTGCATGTGGTTGAAATGGATTGCAGTGTAAAAGAAACTTTCATAGCTTTCTCAATTTTCTAAGTATGTGGGATTGTTGATGTCTTATAATAAAATCACTTACAGTCTACAATGTTCTATGGAGTACAACTGCACTTGCAAAGTGGCGAGCAGTCCAAATTTGCTTTGCCGCATTTGCAGTTGGAGCAGTCTCCTTTGCATGAACATCTGATAAGTTCACGACATGATCTGGAAATCTCTGGAATTGTCATCCAAACTGGTACCCATGACCAAGCGCGTAGCCAGGATTTTATTTTCATATGGAAACGTTGTATCATCCGCTCAATCTGACTTGCGTGCATAGAACTAATAAGCATTTTTCCATGAAAAAGTGAAGTTTTCTAAAATGTGCGTTTCTTTCCAGCATTGGGGCGCCCGAAAGTCACTCGGGTAACATTTCATAAATTATAATATAAAAAGACCATGTGCAAATTTTCTGTACTTTTGTCGGAAAAATACATTTATCCGGCACAACGTCGTCTCTTTTTGCGTTGGGGAAGAGCGAAAAGCGAGTTTCAATCACAATTTGGCCGCTCTCGCAAGCTCTCACTCGTTTCACTGTGGGCAAGCGACTTTGGTGCACTATACCATGGATGACGTCACGGTTACATCATAGCAATGTTATGTTGGGTCACGTGATACTCTGTTCACCAATCACTGAACAGGACTTCATTGATTAAAAATATAATAATAACAATCATGATAGTAATAATAATATCAATAGTAACAGTAACAAAATATAAGTAAATCATGTTAGCGTGAAATTCATTTCTCATTTGCTTTTCATGACTACATTTATCTATTTTTCTTTCAGAATTACTGTAACTTGTGCAGAATAGTGAGATTGACAATTGGCGCTCCATAAATAAGTGGATTAACTTCAACTACGTCTCGTTTACTTTAAAAACACGCTGTTGTTGTTGTTGTTGTTTTCCCCCATTTATTTCCCTGACAGTTTGGAACAGATTCGTAAACAGAGCAAGTGCCAAATGGGAACTCTTAAATATTAATTGGATACAGACACAAAAGCG